GATCTTAAGAAATAAGAATTTTTTTTTTTTCAAAAAAAATAAATAAACAGATCTAAACTTTAGCTCAATTGATTAATTTAGTTGTATCTAATATCTAACAAAAGATAAGAGTTACATGGTGGAATCTATTCAAAAAAAAAAAAAAAAAAAAAAGTAAACAAAGCCTCAACTTTTATTGTTAGCCCTCAAACTAATATATATATATACTCCACAAAACAATGACCAGCACGTTTTTTTTTTCAAATAACAGGGGATTTTAAGATTTCCATAAATTCTTTTTAAAGCCGCAACTTAGATTAAAGACAAAAAGGGGAAATAAAAACTTTTTTTTTCTTTTATTTAAGAATAATTGGATTTCTGACAGGTACAGAAATCTTTTGTAAAAAAAAAAAAAATTAAATTAAATTAAATTAAATTAAATAAATAAAAAAAACAAGTAAAATAGAAGTAATAATAACAATGAAAAAAAAAAAAAACAAGAATAAAAAAATAAAATCTGGGGTAGATAAAATGTAAAAAATAAATTTTAAAACAAGCTAGTTGAGTGAAAATTCATTACAATTATCCACAATAATAATAATAATAATAATAATAATAATAATAATAATAATAATAATAATAATAATAATAATAATAATAATAATAATAACGGTTCCTGAGTTTCTATTTTATTTTTTTCAATGATATTGTTATCTTTTAGATGACTATGATGAGATAAATAATATGGAGAAAAAAAAAAAAAAAAAAAAAAGCTCAAATAGGAGTACGCGTGTGGGTGCGAGTGGGAAAAGTATATCCAATAACGATATAACAAACAATAACAATAACAAACAATAATAACAATAAAAAAAAAAACTAACCTGGTTATCTTGTCTCTGTAACTCTAAGTTTTTTTTTTTCCTCTTATCTTGTGAATAACACCTGTTTGATAATACCACCCATTTAGTAATCAGAGTACAAGAGCAAGCCACTATTTTTTTTTTTTTTCTTTTCAAGACAATGAAAAAAAATAAATAAATAAATAAATAAGGGGAAAATCAATTGTTTGATTTCTTTTTATTTATTTATTTATTTATTTCTTTTTATTAATATTAAAAAGAGGTTTTTTTTTTTTTTTTTTTGATTCTATATATATATATACAACAGTGTTTAACAAACAAACAAAAAAAACCGTTATTAATATGGGGTTCAAAATGGCAGAACGATAAAAAAAAATTGACATATTATATACTATGCTTAGTAAAATTTTTTTTTGATAGAATTGATAGAATTGTGAAAGAAAAACAAGCTTGCTTAAGTCAATTGTTTGTGACTAGAATAAATTATATATATAATTTAAATTTTTTTCTATTTCTATTTCTATCTTGTATCTTGTATATTAAGATTTAAAAAAACAATTTTTTATTCCCCTTACTTGCCCAACTTTTATATTCAGTGGGCAAACAGTACTGAAAAAAAAAAAGTTAAAAGATTTACTGCTGTTAACAGAGGATGGGGGTTTTTTTTTTAAAAATATAAAATAAAATAAAATAAAAATTACTCCAGAATATATATTTTCGTTCCGAAATAATCTGTTTCTGCTATTTATTTATTTATTTATTTATTTATTTATTTCCGAAATTAGATAATTTCCCATCTCCGATTACCCCAAGTTTTTCCCATTCCTTGTATTGCCCACTGTTTTTTTTTTTTTTTTCTTTTAAGTCGTATTTCTCTTTTAAAAAAATATCTTTATTTCTAACCATGTTTTACCCTAAATTTATTGACATCTATTTATACATATATATATATATATTCAATAGTTGTATGGAAACCATAAATATACTTGAATTCTGTTTAGAATATTATAAGATAAGAGCGAGAACACATTTAGTAATGGACACTTACAAATGTGGTAATTCATTATTTTTATTTCTGGGGGAAAAAAAACAAAAAAAAAAAACCGGTAACTATCTTGTTAAACTATTGATGAAAAAAAAAAAAAAAAAAAAACCGTTACGCGAGCAAAATAGTGTCTACTACTCTTTTTTTTTTTTTTTTTTTTTCTTTCTTGATATCAATTAAAGAATGAAATCTTTCAATTTTGAAAAAAAACAAAACATTGATTATTATTTTTATCATTTTTATTTTTTATCAATTCATAGGAGACATTGATATCATTTTTCTTTTTTTTTTTTTTAAAAAAAACTATACATTAGACTTTAACGAGCAATTCTTTGTTTATAGACGAGAGAGAAATCTAATAATATGTATATAAAAAAAAATAGAAGTTTAAATGTTATTTTAATACATATTAAATGAATACACTATATATTGTTCAATTTTACTTTTTGATATATATATTTCTAATTGAAAAAAATAAATAAATAAAATAAATAAAAAATGTCAAAATTGATCTTTCAAATGTCTCTCGTTTTGTCGGTCAAAATCCCGGCTCGTCATAACTTTGTATGATATTTTAGAATTTTTAGAATTTTAAAATTTTATTTATTTATAAATTATTAGTCCGGCCACCTGCCCGAGAGAGAGAGAGAGAGAGAGAGAAGAAAATGAAAAATGAAAAATTTCATTTGAATGATAATAAAAATAATAAAAATACAAGGACATGTAAAATATGTAAAATGTAAAGGTAATGATTAGGTCAGCACTAAAGATTAGATCAGCAAACTATGATGAAATTTCTCGTTGTATGTTTTCCCTTTCCAAAAAAAAGAAAAAAAAGAAAAGAAAAGTTTTTTTTTTTTATTTTCTATTTATTTTAGTATTAAAATAGTATTTTTTTTTTTTTTTTTTATATATTTTGGTCTTTCCCAATACACACATACACAAAATTTATGGAGAGAAAAATTTTTGAACAAAGTCAAAAAAAAAAAAAAAAAAATGAATTCCTAAAAAGTCAATAAAAATGATTAGAATCATGAAAGAAATTAAAATAAAAAATTGTTTAACATTTATAGTTATTGAGCAACATTAAACTTATATACCACGACCTAGACGACAAGAGTAAGAAATATTGAAAAAAAAAAAAAAAATTATAAGGAGTACACTGACTGATACCAAAAAAAAAAAAAAAAAAAATCACTTTGTTTGAAACTAGGAGCAAGATGAACTTGACATCTCAATCCCGGTTAACTCTTCTTTGATTATATTATTTAATAGTAGGGGCTTTACATTACACACATCAAAATCATGATGAAATATTATTACTTTATTTATATCAGTGGGCATTTTCCACCAAGGATATCTAACATTATTATTATTATAATTATCATGTAGAACACGGCTTGATACGTGTAATGAAGATAGTAGATTTGATATATATATTTAGCTTAACAGTAGAACTAACTACAGAAAGAGGGGAGTAATAGTTTGGAGCAGTTTGTGCAAAATTGCCCATTTCTACTGTTCCACAATACTGAATCATCCCTTCTATCATTTCTCCATTAATTAGAAAAGTTATTAATTACCCTCTTCTCCCCCTCTAAAAAAATAATAATAATAATAATAATAATAATAATAATAATAATAATTCATAAACAAAATAGAATGGTAATGAATAAATAAATAAATAAATAAATAAAAAAACCAATTCCAGAATGGTGATTACAAACAATAATAAAATATTGATCATTTCATTTGTCCCTCCCTTCCTCCCCCCGAGGGGAGAGGTAAAGGAGAAATGGAAGTTGAATCAGAGAGGCCAGGCAGTTATAAATAAATAAATAAATAAATAAATAACTAGATAGATAGATATATAGATAGATAAATAGATAGAAAGTAAAAAAGGATCAACAATTATAGTTAATATGTTGGTGGGGTGTATGAATGTATTTATGGTCATATCCATGGTTATGATCCGTGCATCCTCGGGACAAAAAAAAAAAAAAAAAACAAAAAACTCAACACCAAGAGATTTTCTTAAGTCAAAGCATTTATTTGTTAATTCTTTTATTTTATTTTATTTTATTTTTTTTTTTTTAGTAAGATGATTGATTTCAATTGCTTTTAAAAAAATAAAAAAATAAAAAAATAAAAAATAAAAACTTTTAAAACCATCTCCGAGAAAAACTTCCTAGATCAGTAAGATAATAATAGTATATAGAGAAAGTGTTGCTGTTTATTTCAATATTTCTTCATTCATTCATTCATTCATTCTATTTTTTTTCTTTTCTCCAGGAAAGTCCAAAGACCACCACCACCATCATATACACACACCATTAAATTTCACAGGTACAAAAAAATAAAACAATGGTGGGACCAACAAAAAAACCAAAAGAAAAAAGAAATGTTAACAAATAAAAAAAAAAAAAAAAAAAACAAATGACTTTTTTTTTTTTTCTTATCTTTTGCGTAAAAAAATCAAAAATCAAAAATTTAAAATTATTACATAATGTGTAAAATATTTTAAGCAATCGGGAACTTGTAGAAGAGCCTAAAAAATATATATATATATTTATATAAAGTTTTTACAAAAAATACCGTGATGTAAAAATATTATTAAAAATATTAACAAAAATTCATTCATCATACAATATAACACACACACACACACAATATCAAAATAATGTCAGGTCTCTCATACTTTTTGTTATCATCATCATCATCATCATCATCGTCTCTTAACACCCGGTATTATCTTAAAATCGTTTCAAGATAAACGTTGGGCCAACGGATTAAAAAAAAAAAAAAAAAATTCTTTATATAAATAGTCCGATATCTCTCTCCAATTTCTAAATTTTTTTTTTTCTTTTCTCTTTCTTCTTTCCCTTTCTCTTCTTCAGCATTCTTCTTCTCTCCTAATTTCCATTAGCTTTCAAGAGTCTCATCTCTTATTAATTCATAATATATTCAAATCCCCCTTTTTTTTTTATTTTTTTTTTTAAACAAAGCAACACTTTAAAAAATCAAAAAAAACAACAACATCAAGTCCATTCTTTTTGTAACTATCCTTTTATTTTTTAAACAATCAATCACATACACAACACAACAACACATTCACAATGGCTCAAACAACAATTATTTCTAACGGCGCTAACCTTGCCAAGTATATGAGTCTCCCCCAGAAGGGAGCTGTCCTTGCCGAGTACATTTGGATTGACGGTACCAACAACATCAGATCAAAGTGCAGAACTTTTTACAAGAAGCCCGAGACTATCGACGACCTCCCTGAGTGGAACTTTGACGGTTCTTCTACCAACCAGGCTCCTGGCTCTAACTCTGATATCTACCTCAGACCCGTTGCCATGTACCCCGATCCTCTGAGACTTGGCGATAACATTATTGTTCTCGCTGAGTGCTACAACTCTGATGGCTCCCCCAATGCCTTTAACTACAGACACGAGTGCGCCAAGCTTATGGAGGCTCACAAGGATGAGAAGATTTGGTTTGGCATTGAGCAGGAGTACACTCTCTTTGACAATCTTGGAAACGTTTACGGCTGGCCCGTTGGAGGTTTCCCTGCCCCCCAGGGCCCTTACTACTGCGGTGTCGGCACCGGCAAGGTTTACTGCCGTGATATTGTCGAGGCTCACTACCGCGCCTGCCTTTTCGCTGGTATCCGCATTTCTGGTATCAATGCTGAGGTTATGCCTTCCCAGTGGGAGTTCCAGGTTGGCCCCTGTGACGGCATCTCGATGGGTGACGAACTTACTGTTGCCCGATATCTCCTCCACCGTGTTGCCGAGGACTTTGGCGTTGTTATCTCCTTCCACCCCAAGCCTTTGAAGGGTGACTGGAATGGTGCCGGCTGCCACACTAACGTTTCCACCGAGAAGATGAGACAGCCTGGTGGCATGAAGTACATTGAGGAAGCTATTGAGAAGCTTTCCAAGAGACACAAGGAGCACATTGCCGTCTACGGTGAAGACAATGACTTGCGTCTTACTGGCAGACACGAGACTGCTTCTGCTGCCACCTTTTCTTCTGGTGTTGCCAACCGTGGTTCCTCTATCAGAATCCCCCGCTCTGTTGCCAAGGAGGGCTTTGGATACTTTGAGGACAGACGTCCTGCTTCCAACATTGACCCCTACTTGGTCACTGGCATTATGACTGAGACCATTCTTGGCAGCATTCCCGATGTTGATGTTGTCAAGCAGGTCAGCAGAAAGTAAACTGAAAAAAAATAATTTTAAACTTTGTTTGATAGAATCCATCCTTTATTGTATTATTGTTGCTTTGTTTTTTAAAAAAAATAAAAAAAAATTTGAATTATTTTGAATCTGAGACATTTGAATCATGATTAGCACGAGACATTTTTTTTTTAAAAGTGTAGGTAATTACTTTTAAGTAATAGATGCCTTAATATGATTTTTTGTAGATAGTAGTATCTGAGCATAGACCAAAAAAAACAAAAAGGTTGCTTTTGAGGCTGTGTTGATTTGCTACAAATTTTTTATTTGGAGTCAATTTTTTTTTCTCCACATTATACGGCCGTACGGCTACAGGTTTCTATTAAAAAAAAAAAAAAAAAAAAAATACGCCACTAAAAGTGAGGATGAGGATCGGAATATCAAGGAGTAATGAATCCATAAAAGAGAGAATGAGAATTTTGGACATTGATATGATTATTATTATTATTATTATTATTATTATTATTATTATTATTATTATTATTATTATTATTATTATTATTATTATTATTATTATTATTATTAAAATACTCTTTTGGAAAAAAGTTGCTCTTAGTTTATTTACAGAGGGCTGCATATTAAAGAAGAAGAAGAAGAAGAAGAAGAAGAAGAAGAAAAAAAAAAAAATTTAAAACCTGGTGATGTGAAAAATAAAAAAAAAAATAAAAAAAAACTAAACAATTAAAAGAGACGAGATTAATTGAAATGAATGAAATTGTAAATTAAAAAATTAAAAAAAGAAAAAAAAAAATTAAATAAAAATTCCTAATGTAGTCAGTCGTTGACGAAAATTTCAAAAAAAATTAAAAAAAAAAAAAAAAAGTCACTCAAACATAAAAAAAAAAATAAATAAATAAAGACTTTTTATTTTTTTTATTTTATTTTAATATTCCATTGACTCCACAAATTCATTACATATTAATTAACATTGACCAATAATATTATTTTATTTCAATTTTTTTTTCTCCTCTTGTCCACTTTATCCATTGGTGAGGAGGAGGGGGTTAACAGTTTTAAAACATTTATATTTAAAAACTGAACTTTATAGTTAAACAAGTATTGGTTATATAAATATTTTCTTTTGTATTTATATATATATATATATATTTCATTTTCATATCCCCCACTTCTTGTTAGTAGGCCTTTTGTCTAAAATGAAAAAAAATGAAAAAAATGAAAAATGAAAATAAAAAAAAAACCTTCTGTTTTTTTTCTTTCTTTCTTTCTTTCTTTCTTCCCCACTTATTTTGTATCTCGATAAGCTGATACGGTAGTTATCGCACTATCGCACTATCGTGATAGAACCCAAAGTTATTTAATTCACCTTTTTTTTTATTTTTATTTTTATTTTTTTTCCTTCTTCCTCTGGAGAGTGGAGCTTCACTATCAATCAATGTTTAATATTTTTCCCAACAACAAAAACAAGCATAGACTATTTGGACTGATTAGTTTAACAAAGAAAAAAAAATACTTTCTGATAGATAAAATGGTAGTTGAAAATATATTATGCTTTGAATGATATTATATATATATATATATATATATATATAGTTTTGTAAATATATACAATCTCTAACAAAATATTGATCATGATCACAAATATAAGTCCTTAAAAAAAATAATACTTCTTCTACTACTACATGCAATTTTTTCAAAACGGGGATTTTCCCTTCTTTCCAATAACTAGGTTCACTTACAGAATCCCTCCACCCCCCCACATTAGCGTGTACATACACTTAACCATATTTCTAGTCAGACAAACAAAAATAAAAAAAATAAACGAGTTCCAATGTGACGTTTTTTACTCCCATAGTTGCAATATTAAAATGGGAGCCAGGATTCAGTGAGAAACTTCAAAATGTATTTTTTTTTTCTTTTTTTTTACGTCTTGCTGTCAGTTTGATTTTTTTTTTATTTATTTATTTATTTAACTGCATCTTAAATTGCGTAACTTTTTTTTTTTTTTTTTTTTTTTGAAAATGTTTACAAAACTGCCAAATTATTCATTCCATTATATCTCCTATCATTGTCAGAGCAAGAGTCATTAGAGAAAAGAGAAAGAAAGAAAGAAAGAAAAAAATCATGGGGATTTATTTTTAACAATCGAACAAACTAAAAGCAAGAAGCAGCCATGAAGTATTATCATGATAAAAAAAAAAAGATGCAACCTCCAGAGTAAAATAAATAAATAAATAAATAAATAAATAAATAAATAAATAAATAAATATAATGGGCACGCGAGCATTTTGAAAAGGCTTAAAAAATAAAAATAAAATTAAATATCCTCTTCTTTTTTTTTTCACATTCAAATCTAATAACAACTTCGAAAGGACCAATGGTGTGTGTGAATTAAAAAACGTGTATGATGCAACCAAGTAACTAGGATGCGCATGAGTCCCGCGGGACATTCGGATCTTAAAGAAGTAAAAGTGATGGTTATTCTTTTTTTTTTTTTTTACACGAAAGAAAAAAAGTTAATGTATACCATGGTGAAGAAATAAAATGATTTATCTTATCAGAAATACAAAAAAAAAAAACAAAAAAATAGTACTTACACTTGTTTGTTTGTTTGTTTTTATTCAAGGGTTATAGAATTATATAACATCAGCATCTGCGCTATCCTTCTTGTCCATACTATATATTTTTTCATTTTGATAATAAACTTTTAATTTTGGCTTCAACATTGCATCTCCAACAGCCCGAAAATAAGTCCTGATGCCAGCTTACGAGGAACAGGGGGTTAAAATAACCAAACCTTCCCAACCTATCTCCACTTGTCTTCATCAACGCTGTAATTGTATTTCTTAATCCCTCCAAGCAGAGATAAAGCTTACAATCTCTTGTAAGCCAGTTAAACTGTTTAAGAGAGTCGACATGTCCATCTCTGGAGATATCCGTTTCAGTCCTTTTCTTTCCTCTTTAAGCAAAGGACACTCAACTAAAATGTGATGAACTGTTTCCAGCTCTCCACATTTGCAGTTGTAACTATCCTTTTCAATTCCAAACTTTTTAAACCATGCGCCAAAGTTGCCATGGCCTGTGCGAAACTGAGTAATATTACTCAAGATCCTTCGACTATCTTTCTTCATGATCACTCCCGTAACCATTTTGGAAAGATTATCAGTACATTTCGACTCCACTGTGATATTATGATACCACAGATCCTTACTGCTGTTCCAATACATTTCTTGTCATTCTTCCATTGCTTGTTTTTTCAAAATTCCAATCGTCTGATTTTGTTGTTGTTTCAGTGTAAGAGGTTCAACCCTCTTGCATTTTCGTTTTTCATCCTTTTTAATCATATAGTCTCTATCATCTTTCGCCAACATGTAAAGCGTGGTTAGCTTTGCAATTGGAGATTTCAATCAATGTTAACAAATGACCATTAATAGGATTAGTTTTGCTAATATTTAGGTGTAAACGAATAGCTTTTCGTGCCACCATAAATTTTAGCCTAATACTATATGGCATAATACCAGCTTCCTTTTGTAGTACCGCAATAGGAGTTGTGCGATAAGCACCAACAATTCTTCTTAAAGCCATATTCTGCATTACTTCCAACTTGTGGATTTCTCCTTTCAAAATTTTGTGATGCCAAATTTCTAAGCCATATTCGACAATTGGTCTCACGCAAGCAATATACAGTGATCTGACTGCAGACCCTCGCATACCTTTTTGCACGCCACCAAGATGCCAAATAGCACCAACAGCTTTTCTTGCTTTATTGATTTTATTCAAAATATGAGATTTAAAATCAAGCAGATTGTTCAAAGTAATTCCAAGCAATTTAACTTCCTTCTGGGGTTCACGAAGTTCTCCATTAGGTAAAGTAAGTTGCACTTTCTCATCTTTAGGTTTCACATTTTTTGTAAAATGAATAAAACCCAATTTATCACCCAAATCAATTTTGGTCATTCTTGATTTAGCCCAATTACAACATTTTTCTAATATGTTGCTTAAGCTTTTGGTATTTTCTTCAATTTTACCTTCAACGGTAATAGTCACATCATCAATAAAGCCAAAAGGAGTTCCACCCCATTCTTTAATTAGTACTTACACCAGGTACCCAATAATTTCTTAAATTTGAATAAGACTAGTAAATTAATTTATAATCTTAACATTATAAATCACGTGCCTTGCTAGCTCAATCGGTAGAGCGTGAGACTCTTACTAAAGTGTCATCTCAAGGTTGGGGGTTCGAGCCCCCCGTAGGGCTGATAACATTTTTTTTAATTTTATTATTATTATTTTTTTTATCTTCAAAATTTAGATTTAAATCGCATTACAAGCTTAGCTTTCACTTGCATTTTATGGTTTATTAGTTTTGTTACAACTCTTTGCTGGCCACTTTGGTAACTTTGTTTCCTTCCCCCTTTTTTTTTTTTTTTTTTTGCACCTGCCAAAAGGCTTGTCTGTCAACTTCCTTCTAAAACTCCCTCCTCCTCCCCCCTTGATTTCAATCCAAGTTTCTTCAATTAATATAATTCTCACAGAATCCTTACAACTACCAAAAAAAAAACCAAAAACCAAAAAAAAAAAAAAAAAAAAAATTAAACAAAAACCAAAATAATAATATTATAAAAAATGACTACCTTTTTTGATACCCTCAAGCTTTCCTTCAAGGATGTCCCTATCACAGCCGACGGCAAGATCCCTACTGCAGAGTTTCTTGATGCGGCTCAGTCGCTCGTGACACTGTTTGACATTCTCGGTTCCAGCGCTTTTGTGCCTGTACAAAATGACATGAATGGCAATATCAAAAAGATCCGCGAGTACCTTTTGGCAAACCCTGTCGCTGCTGCCACTCTCCAAGACCTTATTCTTTCTGAAAAGGACACTAAGAAAAAAACTGCTACTCAAGGCCTGCTGTGGCTTACTCGCGGCCTCGCTTTCACCGCTCTTGCTCTGCGCAATAACATTAACGATCCCTCCCAGGAGCTCACTGTTTCTTTTACAGACTCTTACTCAAAGACTCTTTCTAAGTATCACAACTTTGTGGTCCGTGGTATCTTTTCTCTTGCCATGAAGGCATGCCCTTATCGCAAAGATTTTTACATCAAGCTTGCCAGTGGCTCCACTGACCCCGTGCTTCTGCAGCGTGTTGCCGAGCTGCTTGATGAGTGGGTAGCTGCTCTTGAAAAGATTGTGGAGATCATTGAAAAGTTCTTTGAGTCAGGTAATTACGGCAAGGGCTTGTAAGGATCTCAATTGAGCAGATGTGTGTCTTTTTGATGATTAGAAATTACAGGAGTTTTTTTTTTTTTTTTCTTAAAAACAAAATAAAACGTATATCGTATATATTTATATAATTATAAAGGGGATACTACTAGAAAACATAGGACTTGACACTTGAAAAAAAAAACTTGAGTTAAATTATCACATGATATCTGACTAATGGCTTATTTAATTTTTTTTTTTTTTTTCACTGCCACCTTAAATCCAATTTCTCTCTGTTCTCCCAATCGCCACCAAAAAAAGCCTCGAAATCTTACGCCTCTTATAGAGATTTTGCTCAACCTTTCTTTCTTTCTTTCTTTCTTTCTTTCTTTTTTTTTTTTTTTTTCATTCTTTCTTCATTAACCAAAAATACTTTCCACCCCACCTTAATTACTCAAATCCTCCTTCAATGGCTCTTTTTACACCACCGCCAATTCCTAGCTCTTCGTCTTCTTCGTCCTCTTCCTCTGGCCGATCGGCCTCAGGGTCCTCTTCGGATTCTGCTTCTCAACAGCAACCACCTGCAGACCCCGCCACACGCTATCCAAATCCATCTTTTGGTCTCAACATTTGGGGACCTCTAGTCCCAGCATCGGACTGCCGCGAGTGTCTTTATACCCTTTCATTTTTACAAATTGCTGGAGGTCTATTCCTTTGGTGGGTCCCAGCAAAAGGTGCTTTTACTCCCCAATACCAATATCGACAACAACCTTATACACCCCCCACCCCTACAACATCTCCAACGGGCCAAGCTGTCCCCCCATCATTCACACAATACGCCCCTTATGATGGCCGTAAAGGACCAACTGGTTCCGCATTTTCTTCTTCATCTTCTGCATTTTCCTACGGCCAACGCCCATTATCAGGTGCCGCCCTTTGGCGTAACCGTTTCATCCGCGCTTCCAGCATCTTCTCCGGCGCATACCTCATGTTTTTTGCAGGCCTCGAGCTGGTACGTCTTCAATTACCATATGACCCTTGGGCTGATGATGCTGCTCAAGCTCGCAGGCGTGCTAATGATAAAATTGTTGCTGCCGGTGGCCAAAATGTCTCGTCCTGGTTTGGTCCCAGAGGTTACCGTGCTGTTGAATACCGCGAATGGAAACGAAGAGTTGATGAGAATCTGGAAAGCCGTGGATTGCGATTTTACAATAAACCTTTGGGTACTACAGCTACCTCTCAACAGCAACAGCAACAGCAACAGCAACAACAACAGGATGAAATTCCTCTGGAAATTGAGCAAAGCGGCTTTAAAAAAATTACAGTGCGTGAGGGTATTCGAATGAAAAATAGACAGCGTGCCCAAGAACTTCTCGATGTGATTGAAGAATTTGAAAATCTCCAGCGTGAACGTGGAGAGAATAATGACAATGATGATTTTTACGATGAGTTTACTAGCGAAGCTGGTCTTGCATCCCCGGCACCAGAAAAAAAGAACCCATCCAAACCAAAAATACCATCCGTCACCAATGGCCCAATACATTTCAATGATCAAACCCAATTGAGTATGGAAGAAGAGGCGGAGTTGGAGGAACAACTTCAAGCACTGGCTCCACGTGATCCAGACGATTGTGACGAAACAGCCGTCATGAATTCGTGGCAAAACTTTGGCATCCAGAATATGGTTTACTATCGAGCCATCATCCATCACGCAGAGCCATGGGCCCGCCAATTTTCTTACGACCAAGCAATTAATGATGAAGAAGAAGAAGAAAAAGAAGAAAAAGAAGAAAAAGAAGAGAAAGATGATGATTCTGGAAAGGATAACAATAAAGATGACGACAAAAATAGTACTAGCAAGCATGACATCATAATCATTGGGAGTGATGAAGCCTCGGATTCTAAAGGTATCGAAGAAAAGCTTCTCACTGAAATTGTCAACAAGGAAATTGAACAACAACGCAAGGACCATCCCGATGGTGTTGTTGATTATCCCAAATTCGTAGAGATTCTTAAAAACACCCTAGAGCGTTACAATTATACGGTTTCTAATCAGGATAAAGATGAATCTATTACCACTAAGGACAATGGTGATGGTGATAGTGATGATGATGGATATGACTACTTTGTTCCTGAAAAAAAAAACAACAATGATGACGAAAAAGATCTCGATGATGATCTTAAAATTAAGTTTGATAATGATAATAAGCCTCCTAAAAGTTGATAGATTTTATTAATTTTTTTTTAAAGACAAATTTTTTTTTTTTTTTTTTTTTTTTGCAAAATGTACATAGAAGACTGAATTGAAGCTTATTAATTAAAAAAAATACTTCAAAATAAATTTCCCATCAAAAATTTTTTTTTTGACTGACCTCAACATAATCACCACAATGGGAGCCATTCCAAAGGTAGCGACCATCGATCCAATCCTTTACATATTTGGGCCTTCATCTCATCCTAACTCCATCCGATCTACAAAGGCCTTATACAAAAAACTTCATCCAACATCCCCAACATCTCCCTCAAAACCTAGGAAACATGTTTCTGAGGTCCTTGCTCTCTACCGGGCTATGCAACGCGCTGCTGCACGAACCATGGACCCCGTTTTTCGCCATTTCTTGCGGCAACACATTTGGGAGTCCTTTCTTGTCAACGCAGATGAGCCTAGTGACAACATAGTCCGTGGGCTTATTGCTCGAGCACATCCTCATCTTACCACGCTCCAGGATGCAGCTATCCGACGCCCTTACTTGAAATTACAAAGCCTCGATCCCAAACTGAGATTTGTCCGACCCACACCCCCTATCAAAAATGAAAACCCCAAGGCCGTAGATGAGGTTATTGAATACTGTATAGCACGTATAAACATTGAAGAAGGCCCGTTACGCCCAGCTCTAGGTGGCGTTACTAGACTGGCCGTCAAAGAATACCCTCAGGGCAAGTCCCCAGCATATACCCTGCGTACTCTTCACGCACCTCCACGCAAAGAAGTTTCAACCTTCCGCGAGTATACAGATTCGTTAGAGCGTGCTAATCGTTTGCGGAATTATCAGCATGCTTCGGGTTTACGTGCACTTCTATATAAATCACAGCCTCCAAAGAATGCCGCCGATAATAAAGATATTGCCCCCCCGCCTAAGCTCAATGACGGGGACATTCCACATGCATATTTCCGCTTCCTTGCTGCTTACAACCCTGCGCAAAATAGACTCCCAGCACAGGCTCGCACAGCAGCTGGCGCAAGTACTGACCCATACCCGGAAGGCACAGTGTCAGGTGCAAGCTTACCCCGTGCACGCGAGCGCACTATTGTCCGAGAAACAATTAAAACTGTGTTACATTCAGTCATCACGGCTCCAGGTGCCAGTCCCATTGACCACAGAGTCATGCGGTACCTTGTTCACTCTCAGCTGGACCGGTTATCGAGAAATGAAGCTTGTGCATGGACTGCGGTGAGCAAATCGTTGCCAATATATCGACCAACTATTAAAACGGTAGATAAAATGACAGAAAAAAATAAAGACTCGAAAGAATTGCCAAAACCATCATTGGTCTTGCCTTCAATTGCACAAGCACTTCCGGGCTCATCTAAAGAGGAACAGTTTGTCTGGGATGGCAGCAAAGTAAAGATTTCTCAATTCAAGTCGCTCCGTTTCTACAAGCGCCGGATCCTAGATGTGATGGAAAAGTCTTATAGCATCATTGAAGATGATCTTGGAAATTTCCAGTTTGTTCTTCCTCCACCTGCACGTATCCGCTATTCCAAGCGTGCTTAGGATTCATCATATCCATTTGTACATAATCATTAATATTAAAATATTCTATGAAAATTCTGCTCTACATGCTCTTGCTCTTGCTCTTGCTCTTCCAACATTATCTTATAAACTTCCGTTCTCTTTATCATCGTCTCCCATTTCCTCATCCATCTCTTCGTACTCTTCACCATCAATGTCAAAGAAAATGTACCGTCGTTGATCCCGCTCAAGCAAGCATCCAACGCGCCGGCCAAGTGCTCCATTCACCGCAAACTGTGCAGGCACAAACCCGCGTTCCACCATCTGTGCACGCTTCCCCTCATCATCAGCCTCTTCAAACTCGTTAAACACTTTAGTTTCAGCAGTCCCAGGTTTACTTGACATCCCGGACTCTTCATCTTCTTCCTCCCGAGGGAACTCCCGCGACCGCTTAATTTCCACAGGTACAAGATCCACCCCTTCAGCACCATTTTTTGCTTCCAAATCCTTGCTCTCAACTTCCATATAAAACAAATCACGATAACAAAACGAAATCATGGTTGCGCGGGGCTTTGCGTCATCATCATCGTCTTTTCCATCAGTCACAACAAGTACCATCACATCTTCATCATCAATAAACTCAACTTGTTCCACTCGCTGAACCATTCCTTCCATAGAAACATCCACACGGATTGCTTCCATCTTATTACCCCCAATTAATGTTTTGATTACCATAACTTCACACTGCCGGGTCTCATATTGCACCATAATGTAACACCACCGTTTTGAAGGTTCATTTTCATTACTGCTCGGCTCTAAAACACTTCGTACACAGACAACTGTTCCACCAAGAACCTGAACCGGAATAACCTTTACCTGGTCCCGCATCGCTTTCTTTACCTTTTCAAAAACTTGCCCAGTAGTCCCGTACAGCTCCTCAAACATGCCTTCCAAGCTTTTGGGTTCATCCGCTGCTGTTTGGCCAAATGGTGGCACTTGCTCAATTACAGGAAGATGAATGTTAATGTACTCGGCCACCTTGACTGTCTGTGCAACTCGCGGGCCCTCGCCAGGATTTTCTTTAAGTGGTGTTTTGGTAACCTGTTCATACAAAATGTCAATCCAATTGGCATATGACCGAAACAATACAAACTCAGCATTCATGTCCCACATGTAGTTGTTGACTTCCCGCATTAAAGTTGAAACTTGCTCAACTGCTTTGTCCAGCAGCGCAGCATCCAAGTTAAGCATTTCGCCACGCTCTTCCCATCTTGCCACACCTCGAATATGACTATACAAAAGTATCAGTCGCTCGCAACAGGGTAAAACATGAACAAATAACCTTCGTCGGACCGCCTCATATCCATGCAAACAATCCTTACGCCACCGCTTAAGACCCTTTTCTTTGACGCTCTGCGTCATCCAGGGGACAATATGTTTTGCAGGAATACCCGTAACTAGGGAGTCAATTAATGCAGGCATCACAAGCTCGAACAAAGCTATGGAGGGTGTAGGAGCTACTGCAATCAACTCCTTATAAAAGGCTGAGTGTGCATCAACCATTGATTTGATTTCACCTTGAACAGCGTAAATTTCAGTTCGTAGATACTCCAATAGCGCACAAACTTGTGTAGGTATTAAAGTGCCATCACAAAGGTAAAGCCCATAGCGTTTAAAAAAATCAAGACTTATCGAATACAGCGATTGTGTACCGTCTTGGGCTTTGGTCAAGACCACTGATTCTTGAGGAATTCCAGGGAACGGCGCAATGGTAGTAATCTCAGCATCAGTTCCAACACTAACCGATCCAATATTAAAAGTTCCAAACAAACTTATGCTTAAATTCCCTGTCTTATCTCCACAGAATATAACGCTCATTTCAAAATTATCGGTATCTTGCTTAGAGTGGATTATTTCCTCCAATACTGATCTTGTGGCATACATGGTATCGTACTGTCGCTGCTGCTGCTGCTGTTGCTGTTGTGTTGGTCCACCGCTTGCCACCATTGGACTTAATGACAGCTTGGGCAAGTGTCTGAGAGGACTTGTTGCTGCGTTGACCAGCTTCTTAAATGGAGAAGCTGTCAAAACGTCTTCGCTGAATCTAAAAGTCGACCAGGAAACACTCACATATGTATGTTTATGGTGTACTGTGAACATGAGCTTCCCGGTATTACTGCTGTACACTTTACACCCACCTTCGCGTAGAGCTACAACAAACATGCGGCCCGTTTCGTTCCAAGAAATAGCAACGGGATTCAGAACAGTCGCGCCCTTTTTTGATGTAGGTACGGAGGCCCAAACTTGCTGACCCGATAATCGATAAAAGGCCAAACCGGAATGCCCAGTGCTTGTTTTTGTTTCTTCATTTTCACTATTTTCATCGCTTTTACTTTGGGGCACATACGATAGCGCAACCATGTCGATTGTTGGACACCATGCCATAAAGGTTGTACTAATACGTGCCGGAAGCACACCCGTTCCAATTGAAGCAAAATCTGTGACCAGCACAACCGATCCTGCATCATCGCCATCAAAATTCCCGCTTTGATGGCTTACTAGCGAGTGCCGTTGGCTGGATCGCCGTATCGGAACACTATTCATGTTTTGTTTGTTGGTGGTAAAAGCCCCTTTCCTGGTGGTGTTATGCTTAAAAAATAAAAAAAAAAACCAAGAGCTGTCACAAATTTTTTTTCTCAATTTCCTACTTCACCACCCTAAAATGTTTAAACACAAAGCTCAGGTATAAATAATTCTTCTTCATCTAGTCATTTTTATCTAACAAAAATTTTAGATCAAACCGTATTCGAACCTTAAGAGTTCTGCGCGGCGCCAGTTGTTGCAATCGATTTGTGTCTACTATTCCCTTGACGAATCGCAACTTTTGCCCGAAACTAAACATGAGTTGCTGCCCAAGGAAATTCGCCACGCACGCGCCATGCTTCACACAACAAACCAGAAGATTATCATTTATTCTGACGAAGACTTGAAACCTCTGTGGTTTAAGTTTGAAAGTAGCGGAATTCTTATCCCTACGATGTTAACACTTTGGCGTTGCCCCTATCTGGCCAAAGGTCGAATCATCTACACCCCGCTGCATGTTTTGGAAATTATTCAAGGCGGTGCTGATCTCATGATTCCCGGTTGCTTTGCACCATACCCAGATCTTCACAAGGGTGATGTGGTTGTGTATTGCTCCATCCCAGAGCAAATTCCCATTGGTGTAGGTCTTGTACTTGTTAGCGAGACGAAATCACTTGAAAGAAGCATGAAGGGCAAGGCCGCACAGACGGTTCATACGTTGGGAGATACCCTCGTTTCCGCTTATAAAAATGAGCTAGCCATTACCCCGGAGTTAGCATTTGATTATAGCCTACCTTATGGTGCCCAAGCTGAAGACTTGACTACTAAGGTTGCAGAATTATCTACAGAGGATCAGGAACAGGCTGAAGAATCAGAGCAAAATCAACAAAATGGGGAAGAAAATTTTGAAAAGAAACAACCCGAAGAACAGTCAGCTGGAGACGAACTAGATCAAGAACAAGTACAAGAGCAAACAGAAATACAAGAGTCTACGGAAGATGCTGAAAGTGACGGCGAGGGAGAAAAATTGTCAACCGCTGAAGTGGATGAAGTGTTTAAAACTGCTTTACTCCAAACAGTTTTTAAATCAATTGATGACGGTGCTATCATCCAAACACCAATCTCTGCATCTCAACTTTTGGGAAGCCACGTTCTAGTTAACCTTCCATTGACACCACTTCAACAACAACATTTGCAATTATCAATCAAGAAGACCTCATGGAAAAAAGCCACCAAGTTTTTCAAGGCAATGGAAAAAGAAGGGCTTCTTAAAACTAAAGATCACAAGGATGATTTGATGATTGTATCCCTTGCAGGACTGGAACACCCACTATTGCAAAAGTATGAGCCATATGAGGTGGTTAAAAAGAAAAAGACCGGCCCTTCACAACCTACAACACCCAAGAGTGATGGCCAACTCGTCGCAATTGAATTGTGGAAACCTCATTCTGCTGCCGTCCCCTTTTTTAATGTGTGTGCGGCCAAAGCACCGGAAAAGTTTTCTGGTGGTCTTTACTACGACACTGACGGACTTAAGATAAGACTTGTTTGGTACATAAACCAACAAAAGTTAGTAAACCCTAAGGACAAGAAGACTATTATAGCAGATGACATACTTGTTGGTGCGTTTGGATTGCCTAAACAGGCTGCACTTAATGATGCGCTGCGTGTCGTGGGCCGTGACAAGATTGTAACCATGCTACAAAAACAGTGCACACCATTTCACATTATTTACGATCCCAAGGATCCTGTGCTGCAACAGTTTAAAGATGCCAAGGGTGCGCTGGCAGCTGAAGACGTTGCGCGTGCGCTCAAGCCGGCCAAAGGTGGCGTGCCACACATTGTCGTTGCAACAGAACGCCGTGGTGGCAACAAGACAGTGACTACAGTGACTGGCCTTGAGGCGTTTGGCATTGATGCTGTTGATTTTGCTGAAGAACTTCGCAAGGCGTGCGCAGGTTCAACTTCAGTAAATAACGTGAAGCAGGGCGCAAATGAAATTAAAAGTGTACTGGTACAAGGACCTCAAGTCAAGGCGGTGGAGACATCACTACAAAAGCGTGGGGTGCGTCCTACTTGGATCACAGTCAATGACAAGGTTGGCGGTGGCAAGAAGGGAAAGAAATGAATAATTTATACGGTGTTAATATAGTTTAATTACAGTTTCTATTTGGCTAAAACTATCGTGATTTTGATTTCCAATACTTCAAGGGTCATAAGTTACTCCTACCACTACTTAGTTTATTTGATTGATACTTCAATTGATTAAATAATCTTGACAGTTGTTCGGGCTTCTTTCAAAAAAAAAAAAAAAAAAAAAAAAAAAAACCTTGGCTAACCTCTACTGACCCTGATTCAAATAAAAAATAGAGAATCGTTACTACACAACTTAAACTTGTCAAAAATATATGGTTCAAAAAAGATCCATGAAAAACTGAACCTTATGTGGTTGTTGAGCGAGAAATAATAACTCCATCATGGGCCGATAATGATTTGATCAAGTAGTAAAATAGTTTAGCGTAGTAATTTAGTCTATACCGAAAAATGATTTATTAAAATGATAAAACAAAAAACTATTTAGTTGAATAAGGAGTGGATCCTGAAGTGTATGCAATTGGGGTGTCTTCCTTGGAATCTTCTTCAGGAATAGATTCTTCTTCTTTGCCCGTTGATTTGTATTCCTTGACAACTCGTAACAGGCCCATGGTCATTACTATGAGAATAGGTCCGAGAAGTGGCATGTATACTGCAATCTTATGCTCCTGTGGAAAGTACATTTGTTGAACCATCATTTTTTCAAAAAAGGCATTGTGTGCAGCTTGCATAGCAGCGGCAGCAGAGTGGACTGCCGATGGCCAAAATCGCTGAGAATTTAAGCTAACAAGAGTCAAGACAATGCTTGTAACGGCGTTAACAACGTTTGTTTGAACCGATTTTGGAATTGCAATCTCTGGAAGAGACTGTGAGAGACGTGTTAACGATCCAAGAGATGATGCTGCGGAAAAAAGGGAGCGCAGGGCAAATGCACGTGAAAGAATATCAATACGAAAAAGCGGAGAAGATACCGGATTATGTGGTGCACCGAGAAGCGAAAAAAGCTGTGCTGTGAAAATCTCCAGAATTGGTTCCAAGTCTTCGGTTGACAGACGGACTGGAAGGCTTTTGCTATTGTAGATGACGACACCACCCCATTGAGGGATTATAAAAGAGTTTGATGGAGAATTTTCAACTAGAAGAGGGGAATGATTGGCTGAAGGGACGTAAAGGATGAAGTTTATAGAAGGGTATGAGTAAATTGATGAAAGAGACCAATCAGCAAAGTTGACAAAGGTCGAGAGATCGTCTTGGGTAAAAAAGTAATGCGTGATGTTGGAATCAATCACTTGTTTTGGCGGGCTAGTGAGAGTCGAATAAAATTGGACCTGGGTATCAATAGAGAAATTAGCGACACGGGCTGAGAGCTCACGCTCAAGAGGTGCAAAGTAGCTCGCAAGTGCTGGTGCGATATCCCAAGCAACATCTTCGCCTCCTTCCACAAAAAGCGAAAAGGTAATATGATAGTTTGTAGAGTGGGCAGCTGCTAGACCTTGACCCGGAGGTTCGCGGCGGCGAACAAGATCCACATACTGATCAATCTCATCACCGAAAATATTGATGAGTTCAACGGCTAGCAATTCCGGCAAATCACCAGCGGCCAGAGATTGCTCGGAGTAAGATACAAGGATCTCGCGTGCGTAGGGTGATACTCGAGACTCCTCAACACCATTTGTAGGGACCAACTGCACAAGAGATGCACTTTCAGCGTCCCAATATTCACCGCTCATGTCTAATAGTTGCTGGAGCTGAGAAAATGTAATGTTGTCTGTAGAGTATCCTTTGGGAACTGGAAGAGGGTGAAGGGAAAGGTCCCATCCAGGATTAGTGGGAACACCAAGTTTTTTCAAGTGTTGATCAATTATAAGCTGAGTGGCACTGACAATGTCTGGTAACATGGGACCTGCTGAGTGAACAAACACTGGGACTTTAACATCAACAAGAGATCCGAGCCGCTCGTCATATGTAGACATTTGGGTATAATTGAGAGGAGCGCGGTAGATAGAAGTCGTTTTATACCAGAGGGGAATGCCCAAAAGTAAAACAAATAGCAAAAAAGACCCAACAACAGCTCGCCGCAGCAAAATTGCGGGCCGCGATTCTAGTGGCAGAATGCTGGGCTTCATTTGGTGGTGGTCGTGTTATTGTGTGTGCTGGAATGTTGGTGGTGATGATTTGGTCTTTTGGAGTTTTTTTTTTATTTTTGAACTTTTTTTTAAATTTTTTCAAAACTATTTACAGGCACATTATACAAAAAAAAAATCACAACAAACTATTAATATCTATCTAAACGTCAATGACAATTCCAGGGCCGTGAGTTGAGCTGAGGGTGGTCTGGCCAAGAACAATAGGTCGCTTGGATTGGATTTTGTTTGCGGTTTCTCGAACAGTATCGATAGCCACAATCAAATTCTTGACAATCTCGGCATCAGTGAAGTAGGCCTTAGCGACAGGTAAAGAAACAGTGGCGATGGAGCGCTGGCGAAAATCAATGACACCGATGGAATCGCCAATGAGCTTAACAATATCGTTAGAGACAGTGCCTCTACGGGCAGAGGGCATGAGGCCCTTGGGACCCAAAACACGGGCAATAGGGCCAAGCTTTGCAAGGATATCAGGGGTAGCTAAAGCCTTGTTGAAATCAATAACACCGTTCTTGACCTGCTCAATAAGATCCTCACCTCCAACAACAGCGGCACCAGCCTCCTTGGCAGCAGCAGCAAGTTCGGGATTAAGGGTAAAGACAGCAATGCGTTGGTCAGTGTCAAGACCCTTTGGCAGGCGAACGGAACCAGCAAGGGCTTGAACACCATTGTCAGCAATGACGCGAACAGTCATAGTAAGAGTGGTAGACTCAGCGGGGTGACCAACTTCAGCAGCACGCAGGTATCTAATAGCAGTGGCAGTGTCAAGGAAAAGTTGTGTGTCCAGTGCACGCTTAGCTTCAAGACGCAGACGTGCCATGCGCTTCTGTTCCTTGCGCTTGATCTGGGCCTGAGCAAGAGCACGCTCACGTTGAGCAGCAATTTGCTTAGAAGAAGCCTTGTTGCCAGAGGAGGCGGCAGCAGCAGCGGCAGGCTTGGCGTAAGCTCTAACAAGAGTAGGTGCAATTGTCTGAGGTTTCAGGGCACGAGCAGCCATGCACTGCAAAACTGGCAGAGACGCGGAGGATCGGAAGGACATGCTGGGGATGATGTGGTTGTGTATGAAATTGGAAAGGCGATGGAATCGTCTTTTGTTTGGTTGGAGGGAAATATTTTAATGGTGGTTGGGAAAATTTTCAAAAAAATCAAGTGTGAAATTTAAAAGAGGGTTAGGGCAACAATTTTTTTATTAGGTCTATGTACAAACAGAAAAAAAAAGCGGGTTTTTGGAAGATCCGACCGGGACGCGTCAGAACGCAGTCCTATAAAGAGTTATTAAAAGTTATTAGTGAGAAAGGAACCAGCGGCCCTTGGTCTTTCTGCGGGCAAGAACTTTGCGACCACCACGAGTCTTGAGGCGAGCAAGGAAACCGTTAATACGTTTGCGCTTAAGGGTCGACGGCTGGTAAGTATTACCACGAGCCTTCCAACGGCGCTGATCTAAAAGATCAGGAAGAGCAGGCAACAGAAGAGGGTTTGGTTGAGCAAGTGGTGATACAAGAGCAGCGGTAGGAGAGCCGGGTGTCATACGGGCACGAAGAGCCGTCAGAGGATTGCTCTGCGCAGCAAGCAATGTAAGAGGACGACTTTGAATTTGAAAATAAACACAAATATTAATAAAATTGAAAAAGCTGACTTCAACACCTTAAAAAAAAACTTACCTAGCAACGCCAGAGGCGACCACACGCATGGCGGGTCTGATAGCAGCAAATCGGGACAACATGACGGGACGAGTTTTTGTGGGATGTTGAAGAAAGCTATTTGGTGGTGGTGGAGACATCGCATATCAAATTTTGATATGTGCGGCTGTATGATCCGGGTAACTAAAAATTTTCCCAAATATGAAATTTTTAAAAAAACAGAAATTATTAGCATTAAGCTCTCCAAACAACATCTCAACAGGCAATCCCAGTCAAGTCCAACAATGTCTGCAGCAACAACACCTAGAATTGCAGCACTTCAGCCTGCAGCTGTCTATGTCAAGTCTGCCACTTGTTTGTCGAATGAAGCTGCCGCTAAGTTTCTTGCTGCATACATTGAAACCTCTAAGGATCTGATCAATGTCGCAGCCAACACTGCTTTGCGTTCTGAAAATGCGGTAGCAGCAGCGGCAGCGGCAGCTGCCTCCTCTGCAGTCCCATCAGCAGCTAAAAATGGGTTTGTGGATGTATTGGCTGCCGAGATGGCTCAAAATGAGAAAATTATTGCACAACTTCAACGAGTCGAGCGCACTCTGCATAATTACTCAGAGTCTGCCACACCTGTTGTTTTCGAGTCTACAACTACTTCTTCAGTGACCACTCAGAAAATCTCAGCTGATGAGCCGGCAGATGATGCGGAGATCAGCAAAGAAGAGCGCAAGCGTCTTAAGAAGGAACGCAAGAAAGCTGAACGCAAATCTAAATTAGCTAAAAACGAGGCAGCTGCTGCCGAGTAAAATTCCTAGCCATGTTTTATTTCATAGATATTTTAATGACGATAATGACCCCCTTATAGTATTTTTTAAATTAATTATTTTGTATTAAATTTATATTAAATTTTTTGTCTTTTTTTCAATTATTTTTGTCTTTAGTTCTGAGTTGCAGTTTTTTTTTTTTTTTTTTTTTTCTTACTCTTTGCAACCAAAAATGTCTACTGGTGCCATAGATAAGGAGCAAGAGTTCGTTCACGACGTTTATGAGCAAATAGCGTCTCATTTTTCGGACACCCGCTACAAACCATGGCCAGTTGTTGAAACATTTTTGAAATCTTTACCCCCTGGTTCGATTGGTCTTGACGTCGGCTGTGGTAACGGCAAGTACCTCAGCGTGAACAAATCTGTTGTCATTCTTGGCTCTGACCGGTCTTCCAACCTTGTTGATATTGCGTTTAATAAACATGTCAATACTTCTTCTGGTATAGATGTGATGGTGGCAGATGGCCTTTCATTGCCGTTTCCTCACGATTCTTTTGACTTTGCTATATCCATTGCCGTCATACATCACTTTAGCACTCCAGAACGCCGCATAGAAGCTGTACGCGAGATCCTGCTTCGACTTAAACCAGAATCACATTCAAAAGCGCTTATTCATGTTTGGGCTCTTGAACAAGAGTCATCGCGTCGTGGATATCATGAAGGAATGGATCAGGACGTTATGGTACCTTGGGTCACTAAGCAAGCTCAGAAAAAGAAGAAAAATACCAAAACCGTCGAATCAGAAAACCTTAACGAAAAAATAGGAAGTGAACCTCAAGAAGTTGTCAGACACAGGTATTACCATTTATATAAAAAGGGAGAGCTGGAAAAAGATGTCGATTTGGCTGGCGGAAAAGTCATAGAGTCAGGCTACTCGCGCGACAATTGGTATGCTATAATTTCTAGAGATGTGCTATAATACCATAATTTTTTTATTTACTTGGTGATAATTCCACATGTTTCTTGAATCATTAACGGTAAACTATTACATTCAAATACTATAATACCTTTACTTAAACAAGCGCTCAGCAACTTCGGTAGCTGATTCAAACTTGAAATCACTTCCCGTTACTTCTTCGTAATTAGGGGTCAAGTTGGTAAAACCTTGAGAAAAAAGAGCAATCAAAACGGCCCCGAACTCATTCATATCTTTGGCATATCCAGTATCAACAATTTTGTCAGTGACACTCAAAATATCTTCTGCAGGTTTCTCCACGTACTCGACCTTAGTACTTTTAATCTTTTCGTAGATCTCTGCAAGTTTTTTTCCATTAATTGTATCACCACGCAAAACAACCTGATCAGGAATCTCATCTTCATCAAGAGACTTGCTTACAATAGCTGCGATTGCGCGCCCGACGTCAGGTAAACTGGTAGTTGTGTAATCAGCATCAGGAGAATATACCTCGATTCGAGAATCGCTAACAAAACCACCAAGACCAGGGATTGTAAATGCAAATTCAGTGAATAATCCATTGAACACAGCTACAGTCTTGTAAGACTTGGTTAGGGCATGTTCTCTGGCAGACAATTTAACACCAAAAATTGGTGCATATTTGCCAAGTTTTTCTTTGGTGGTCTTGACGCCAAATTCAGAGGGGATGTATAACTTGACACTTCCAGCATCTGCAGCAGCATCTGTAATTTGATTGTGAGAAAACCCGTAGACACCAACAAGGTTGACAACAGCAGTCGCTCCAGTGAAGGGCTTAGCAAGGCCCTCTCCACTTAAAATGTCAGCCTTGTAGATATCAAATAGCTCTGGGGAAGCGGCAACTGCTTCAAGAGTTTTGGTCTTTTCAACGTTTCCAGTCACAAGACGAATTGGAAACGAAATTGTATCATTGTAAGCAGGTGACAAGAGAGCAGCAATTAGGTTTTTGGCAAGGACACCATTAGCTCCGACGATGGCAACAACAGGCTTAGACATTATGATATTTGTTTGATTAATCGATAAAGAAAATATGTGGTGATGTTTACAATAAAGATGATAAAGATAATAGTAATAATAGTAATAAAAAAATAGATTTTGAAAAAATTAAGAAAAGGAATGGCTTTATTTTCTTCTATTTATATACAATTTTCTTTTCGGTCTTTTTTTCTGGGCTGAGATTTTCTCCAAAGCAGTTTTGCTGCCTAAAATGGCATTTCCTCGGTGATAACACGGGTTTATTTGTTATCACCGCGGGGTAAATGATACAGTGTTAGGATAATCAGACTGATGTGTACTATAATACACTAATAATTATTAAGTGACCACGGCTTTAGAGAAATTAAATCTCCGATTTCCGTTCATTTCAAATCGCCAAACAGTCGTATTTCATTTAATCAAGATTTTGTTTAGTAAGATATTTGGAATTACACATTATTATTAAGGAATTGCTCAATATTTTCCATTAACAATACGAATTACTTAGCTAAGGATATCAAATTTTAAATAAATAATACAGACTTTAATAAAATGTTGCCTTTAAAAGCCGTCACCACTGAAACAGACAATTCAAAGTAACTGGAAGAAATTTATAAACATTAGATAATGTGATGTCATATGCCCTAGTTAGTACTTTTAATTATCTTCGTTCTATCAATCGACTTGACTATTACAACATTATTATTCTTTTGTATAAAAGCTTGCAGTGGAAAAAAATTACAATAACTTAAAAAGTATGACAACTGTGGGATTTGAACCCACGCCTCTTACGAGATCCGAAAACACTGTAATCAGCGAAGATAACACTTGAGTCGGACGCCTTAGACCAACTCGGCCAAATTGTCACTTTTGTAGAAATAAATGAATGATTCATAATTTGTTTCACATTTAATTTTGTTAACAATGCTAGATTTATTTGTTTATTAACAAGCATACTGGGTTCGATTCCCAGAATACCCCCTTTTTCCTGAGGATGTGTACGGGAGTATACATCTAGACTGAAAACCATAGGCTACCCTGGTTACAGGAATGCCGACTATTCCGTACAGTCTAAATAGCCTGCAGGTGATTGCGGGCCGTATCTCTGGCGGAAGAGATTAAGAAATACATGGGCGTCCGTGAAGATAAGTGGAAATGGGTTGGGAAGGTTTTGGGACCGACAGACTGGTTCTCCCTGTTCCTCGTAAGCTGGCATCAGGGCCCATCTTCCGGGCTACCGGAGACGCACAGAACAGAAACCACCAGTACTAAAAAGGTACAAATGAAAACCGGCAAGTCACATAGTCAGACAATAAAAGGATAGCGCAGATGCTGATGTTATATAGTTCTATAACCCTTGAATAAAAACAAACAAACAAACAATTTATTAACAAGCCCATTAAACATAAAGATTGGATCCCAATCTTTACAGAAACTGGAAAAGAAAAAAATAAATGCAGAGCAATTACTTACATTAGGTCTAACTCTGACTTACGAGCATTAACTACTAAAATTGAAAAGTTTACAAATCGAGATATGGTTACCATTTTGGTTAAAGACATTACAATTGTCAATGTCTATAATCAACCGAAACCATCCAAGAAATACCCTGAGCCACCGGTTTTTGAGTTTCTCAAACGGGAGATCAAGGAACAATACTCAAAGATTGTCATTGCAGGTGATTATAACTTACATCACAAGGAATGGGAGTCAAGGGCAGGTCCGAATACGGAAGCAGATGAAGTTGTTGAGTGGCTACATGAAAATGATATGATGTTAATTACTCCAAGAAATCAAAAAACATACAACAATAGAACCAATATTGATTTGGTTTATGGCTCAGTGGACTTACTTCATAGAATTTCATTTAGTGGAGTGGATGAAAATACACTAAGTGATCACTCAATTGTGGAGTGGGACATCTATATGTCTCAGAGTAAAAACGGGGATGAAGTTTTTACTTCGGTGAAGAGATTGAATATTAAGAATGCAGATTGGGAAAAGTTTGACAAGGAGCTTTCTTCTGCCATTAAAGATTTTAATGTGCATAACAAAACTCTAAAATCAACTGACCAAATTGATGACCAAGCTAAAGTTCTTGAGGAGGTTGTAAAAAGAGCAATGGCAAAGTCGATGAAGGAAGTTAAGGTGATGAAAAAAAAGTCCAAACGCTATTGGAATCAAGAATTAAGGGAGAAGTTAGAAAAAGCGCTAGAAGCTAAGAGGGAAGCCCGTCAAAGGCAACCTTCTTTGGCTTTGAAACGACAAAAAATTGAAGAGGCGAAAAAAGCTAGAAAAATTTTTGACCACAGTTTGCGTGAAGCAAGTACTGAGCAATGGAATAAATATTTGTCTAGTTTAGAAGGAAATGACATTTGGAAGATTTTGAAGTATATTAATCCAAAAAGCAATGATACCATTATACCACAAATTAGAAAAGAAGATGGAACTCTCACTACTACTGTTGACGAAAAAAAGACATGAAATATGGAAGGCACTTCTACCTGAAATTGATCATGGTCTTGATAGAGAGTTTGAAATTGATGACGATTCTCGATGGCCAAAATTAGAGCTTGATGAAGTTGACTCTGCATTGGCTGATACCCCAAATGATAAAGCTCCAGGAGACGATGGAATTACTGGCAAAGTTTTAAAGATGGCATGGCTGAATAAAGACTTTAAGGAAAGGTTTTTCAAGCTTCTCCAAGCTTGTGTGAAGTTTGGATACCACCCAAAAGTCTGGAGACATGGCATTATTGTTGTTATACCTAAACCTAAGAAACCTGACTATTCAAAGCCAAGAGCATACCGACCAATTTCCTTACTTAAGATTCCATCTAAAGTACTGGAAAAAATTATACAAAAAGAATGACCAAGCTTACAACACACTTACTTCCACCAGAGCAATATGGGGGAAGACAAGGTTATTGTGCTACTGATGCTGTTTTGGAACTTGTCCAAAGAATTGAAACTAGTAAAGAAAAAATTTCAGCTATGCTCATTGATATTCAAGGAGCTTTTGATAATGTTAACAGAAATATATTGGCAGACACAATGGAGGATATGAAGCTACCCAAAGCACTTATAAACTGGACGTACCAATTTGTAAGTGAAAGAGAAGCTAGTATGCTCATGGACCGAAGAAAAGGATCAGTGCAAAAAATTAGTACTGGAATTCCGCAAGGCTCACCTATTTCACCACTACTTTTTTTGATATATTCCACACCAATGTATCATGCCATTAAAGAATGGGGTGGAACTCCTTTTGGCTTTATTGATGATGTGACTATTACTGTTGAAGGTAAAATTGAAGAAAATACCAAAAGCTTAAGCAACATATTAGAAAAATGTTGTAATTGGGCTAAATCAAGAATGACCAAAATTGATTTGGGTGATAAATTGGGTTTTATTCATTTTACAAAAAATGGGAAACCTAAAGATGAGAAAGTGCAACTTACTTTACCTAATGGAAAACTTCGTGAACCCCAGAAGGAAGTTAAATTGCTTGGAATTACTTTGAACAATCTGCTTGATTTTAAATCTCATATTTTGAATAAAATTAATAAAGCAAGAAAAGCTGTTGGTGCTATTTGGCATCTTGGTGGCGTGCAAAAAGGTATGCGAGGGTCTGCAGTCAGATCACTGTATATTGCTTGCGTGAGACCAATTGTTGAATATGGCTTAGAAATTTGGCATCATAAAATCTTGAAAGGAGAAATCCACAAGTTGGAAGTAATGCAGAACATGGCTTTAAGAAGAATTGTTGGTGCTTATCGCACAACTCCTATTGCGGTATTACAAAAGGAAGCTGGTATAATGCCATATAGTATTAGGCTAAAATTTATGGTGGCACGAAAAGCTATTCGTTTACACCTAAATATTAGCAAAACTAATCCTATTAATGGTCATTTGTTAACATTGATTGAGAAATCTCCAATTGCAAAGCTAACCACGCTTTACATGTTGGCGAAAGATGATAGAGACTATATGATTAAAAAGGATGAAAAACGAAAATGCAAGAGGGTTGAACCTCTTACACTGAAGCAACAACAAAATCAGACAATTGGAATTTTGAAGAAACAAGCAATGGAAGAATGGCAAGAAATGTATTGGAACAGCAGTAAGGATCTGTGGTATCATAATATCACAGTGGAGTCGAAATGTACTGATAATCTTTCCAAAATGGTTACGGGAGTGATCATGAAGAAAGATAGTCGAAGGATTTTGAGTAACCTTACTCATTTTTGCACAGGCAATGGCAACTTTGGCGCATGGTTTAAAAGTGTCAAAATTGAAACCCACAGTATGGCGGTTTAGAAACGGACAAATTCACTTTAATATAGTGTTTCTTTTTGGAAGAGTGAAAAGGATTGAAACGGATATACCTAAACGTTAAGGTGGCGACTCTTTTAAACAGTCTAATTGGTTTTCAAGTAACTGCAAGCTCTATCTTTGCTTAGAGGTATTAAGAAATAAAATTATAGCATTGATGAAGACAAATGAAGATAATTTGGGAAGATCTGGTTTTTGACCCCCGGTTTTTAGTAAGCTGGCATCTGCACTTATTTTAAGATTTTTTGTGATGAAATTTTGCAGTCAAATTAAAAATATATTTTGAAACTAGAGCATTCCCTAATATGAGCGTGGGTAAGGTTGGTGCTGAAATTATATACTTTTATCCTTTGAATAAAAATGAAACAAATGTTTTTAAAAATGCCTTTTTATGTTTTAGTGGATTTACTTAATAAAAATTTGACTTCTAGTCTACTGTTATCTCAACTAATCATAGGCTTGTCTGTGGTATGCTTTGCACTGTTTGTGAGATAATAATCATCTGTATTCTGAATCCAAACTTCTCTTCCATTATCCCTCTTTAAGAAAAAAGCTATTTAAACTATCAATCTAAAATAACCTGTATATTAATGTGTTAAAGAATACACAATAGTTTGTGCAATAAAGCTTGAATAAAAACTAACCAACAATCAAAAAAAAAAAAAAAAAAAAAAAAGCAAACAGACAAGTTCTCGTGTTGTGCATATATTTGATAATAAATTGAGTATGTTTAAACCAAAAAGATAATTATCTTCATTATTGTTGCCAAGAACGATTCAACAGCTTTTTGATAGTTAAACTTTAAAATTAGGTTAGTTTGCAATAAGGTAGGTTTATTACTAACCCTTGTATGTCGGTAAAATGGACTTTTAAATAATGTTTAATATTATGAGCTTGTTTTATGGTATTTTCGACAAACGCAACGAAATAAGAAAGTCGAACGATTTTTCAGAGCCCGTTTTAATTTTTTTTAAGCTTAATTTGAGTTCCTGAAAATCATTTTTTTTAGATTGTGTCCAAAACGTCTTTTTTGGATAGAGAAGAAATCACACCATTTTTTATTGCTTCTTTTTCCCCCTTATTCTATTTGACATAATTAGAAGCAAAATGTTGTTCCACGCACTTCTTTCAAAAAAGAATACCCAGATCACTTCGAAAAGCTGTTTTTATACAACCTGATGTATGGTGGGTTTGTAAAATATTAAATTTATTTTCACATTTCTTATGATAAATGTGAAAGAAATACCAATTAACAAGCAAACATAAGACCTTTTGGTTTTTGAGTTACAATAATATTGCTCAATATTGGCGGTTAACCGGTTAAATTATACTTAACCAATAGAAGAATATAAACTAAAACGTGACTTGTATCTTTTTTTAATTAATCACAATAATGTGATGAAAAATTTGGAAAGCTTTTGTTTAAAAAAAAAACCCTCAGCATAGCTTTTCTTTTTTTCTTTTCTGAAGTTCATTTCAACCTTTGCTATTATCGGATTTTGCCAATACCGACAACTAATATTAAACCAAGCTTATTGTTTTTTTGTCGTTTTTGGTGAAGATTCTTTGTTTAATATCTGCATAAACTTCGGTTGCATTCAAATAGACTTGCATTGTTTCCAAGTTTGATGAAAAAGGTAACAAGCTGGTTATAAATTTCCAAAAATAATTAGCCACTTATATCTACTTGCATAATTGATATAATGTACACATTGGTGAGTGCTATTAAATCAGTAATTTAGATCTTAAAAGTTTAATAAATAATATTCAATTATCTGCACTTTCCCCCTTTAAATACCATATTTTATTACTATGTTCAGATTTTAAGCACATCATGACAAAAAATTGAATCGAGATATGCAGCTTCCAGTGGCTTAAGATATAAAGAGTTGCTATTATTAACACTCATAGCTATGCAAAGAAAAAGGTACTTGTCCACACCTACTGTACATTTAAATTCTCTCAAGCCAAACTAATGAGTACTCAAAAAATGAAAATATATATATTGTTCAATATTGGATTTCAACCAGATTAAATTCAATCAAAACTGATTAAATCTGTGTATATTTTGTTAAACTTAGATTTTTTTTTTGAATAGATGATATCCTACTATCGATAGTAGGATATATTGAAACTTTATATAAGGTTTTAAAAAAATGTTAAGCATACATTATGAACTTATCGTGAGCTGGGCAAGTTGCTCTTACTCAAATAAAATTATCCGCATGACAATACGTTCTAGTATAAGATTCATTGTATTATTAATTATATTATTATCAATCTACGTTTATTGTTTTTTTTTTCAATAATCTATTTTCAATAGAAAGAACCAAAATAAAAAGTAAAGTTTACAGAATTAGTGGACTTAATGACCATAAAAACCACAAAAATAGTGTTTCGAAATTAATTTTAAAGGCTGGGATACTGAATTAGTTTCAACAATAAAAATTTGGGCTGATTCAAAACCGATAAAATTATTCTTCTAAGAAACAATATAATTATATAAAGCAAATGTCTATTCCTTGGAATTATAAGAGATTTTATTTTAACACTGTTTACTGCGTTAACTTTTAAATAACCAGTTATACACATGTTAGGGAAGTTATTGGTATATAACAATAAATTGAACATCGCCACAAGTTGTAAAAAAATTAATAAAATAATGGACCCTAAGAACAAAATTTTTTATTTAATTTAAGGTTGATCCATTACGGCTGATAAAAAAATTCATAATTAACTAACTCTCAAAATTTGCAATATATTCCCAAATATTCATAATAGAATTACGTATACTTGGCTATGTGAAGTTTTTCAGGGTCTAAATTAATCATTGCATTTATAATCGGATATAGATTAGGGCAAATAAACCCTCATAATCATATTCAACATTTTTAATACGTGTTGGAATATTTAAATGCAACAAAAATAAAAAAAATAATGATGTAATAGAGAAATAATTTAAATAGGCAAACTTTTCTGTTATTAAAGTTAATATGATACTTAATCGAAATATGAATGAGCCTCAAACCTAAAAAACTAAATTTATATTGAAGGATAAATTTTTTTAAACAATCAAAAAATGGAATGTAACTATATTTTGATAATATCTAATATCAACAAGATTTTGGAAAAATATAAACATAAATATGATAATTTTCAAATCAATTAAATATCAAATTCAAGTATTTGAATTCATTTTAAAATAATTCTAGTAGTGACTGAAAAGGATGGAATTAAGAATTCTTAAAATTTTTATTTAAAGTTCTTAGCTTATACAAATTACTCAATATTTACATTGTTTTCATTCGATCTTTTGGAGGTGTGTACTACTAAAATCGGAGATATCTTTTGACTTCCCTTGTTAAAGAGTAGAAAATCAAAAAACCATAAGATATAAAATAATCTCAATAATATGAACATAAAGTCAAAAGTTGTAAACATGATCCATGAAATTATCTTCACGAAAAATTAATAATCATAATGTATTTTGAGACATACAAGGCTTGCTTAAGGACAACTTATTGATCTATCAATAGGTAATTTAGTTATAACTAAATTGGTAATTACCAATATCTAATGTATAAACTAGTCAATTTTTTTTTCTTTTTAATAGTTTAAATTTGGAGGTCATTAGAAGAGGATAATACAGATATTGTAAATCAAAAAAATAAAATAAACGAGAGATGCATACTACACACACTTTGGTGTTTTTTCAAGCATATTTGAATAACAGTTTTAAAAAATCGGCTAATAATTTCGCCTATTTCAATAAAAGATATGGTGGTTAACATTTGAATAAACAAAACCACCTCGGTTTAATAACCAATAAAGGATTATAATATAAAAATATTTAAGCTGAAAAAAAGGTTAACTTTTATACATTAATAACTACATAGAGATTTTTATGAAATTTAAAGGAGAGTGTCGAGGAGGCTGATAATGGAGTTAAGAAGGTTAGAAACGCCATCACCAAGACCAGCCGAACCAAGGACAGTGGAAAGGTTGTTAAGAGTACCACGGAGCGAAGTAATGATATTAATGAGGGAAGAGTCAAGGGTTTTGCCAGAAAGACTCTTGACAAGCTGGTTAACAATAGTGAGAAGAGCTTGAAGAAGAGTTTTGAGACCAGTAGTAAGAAGGAGCTTGTTAAGAGCACCAGCGAGACCAGTTCCAACAACGACGCCAGTAAGAGAATCAACAAGCTTGACAAGAACAGTGGTGATGTTGGTAAGAAGGTCACCAACAGCGGCAAGAGTGCCGTTAAGGTTAAGAGTGAGAAGAGAAGTAAGAGCATCATTAAGGAAGGAAACAATGGCACCGAGAAGAGTAGAAAGGAAACCCAAATCCAAAAGTTGGGCAGGAGCGGCATTGGCGTCTCTCTTCTCAACACCAGTGTAGGGAGCAAGAAGCTCATCAGCAGTGGGAGGAGCGGCAGCAATGGCTTTGGCTTCAGGAGCGGCAGCAGGAGCAGGAGCGGCAGCAACAAGGGCAGCAAGAGCAGAAAAAAGGGTAACAGACTTGATGGAAACCATTTTGGATATTTGTGATTTTGTGATTATATTTTTGTATGAGTATTAAACTTTTGTTAAAATTTAAATGATGAGAAAAAGGAGAAAAAAAAAAGGACCGAATAAGAAGAATATCAAACTCTTTTTATAATGATTTAAAAATATATTTTAAATAAAAATTATAGAATAATCCTCTCTGAAAACCAACTAAAATCAATTGAAATTCCATTTTAGTGTATTTAAATAATTTGAGTAAAAATAAATTATGACAATTGAAAATATATCCAAATTAGGAATACACTATTTTTTATACATAAGGATAACCATAGTAATTAAAATTAAAAATAAAAATAAAAATAAAAATAAAATACAGGGGAAATCTTTATTAAGCAAAAATAGTTGATTAAAAGCATAATTTAAAAAATATATTTATTTTAAAATCAAGTACTAATTGATTTTAAAAAAAAGATTAACCCAATAAAAAAATAAAAGAAAGTTCAAGTATAAAATAAAGTTATTGAATTTATCAAATTAGGGTTTAACTAGCTGTTTATTTCATACTATATTCTTACCAACGAACTGTTAATAATCTACGATTGTTATCAAATATTTTAAATAATATATATAGTTAACATATGTTAATTCTAGAGGGTATTTATTAAAAATATTAAATAATTGATTACAGTTACTAAATATTCTAAATGACAACAGGTTTAATAAATAGTAAAACAAAAATTATTTATTAGATTTATTTAATATCCATACACATAAAACTGTTTTTTTAAGAGAAAGTAATTGCTAAAGTAATAATCTAATAAAGTTGCTATTTTAGAGCATCACAATAAGAATAAAAAAAATACAAAGAATTATAGATGTTCATAAAATGTGTATCCAGAAAGAATATTATCCAGAATATTCATTAATATTCATTAAAGTTTTGAAAATAGAATCAAATAACTTATCTTTATATATAATAGAACCATTTAATAGTTGACTTTTTAACCAAGCTTGTTTTCCTTCTTCTTTAACCAAACCTCTATAAAAGTAAGGGCTAGGAGAGCTCAAAAAGTTACGGGAAACTGAAATATTGGTTAGGACAATCTATATCGTGTTATAGCATATTGTAACTTGCCGCTAATGCAATTTATGTGATACCAATAAATAATATTATTGCCATACAACAATAAAGAAGAATATTATGTTATGTAGGAGCATTATAAGTAAACAGTCATAATCTTAACCCTAGAAAAAGAATAAATACATATTGCATCAAGAAATCATATTAAAATTATTTGTTTGGTGGCTTTAAAAAGATAGCAAAATACAGCTGAATTATAAATTTTTTCAAATTAAAACAAATAAGTTTATTTCATTATACACGTAAACACATTAAATACACATTAAAGAACACTCATTAATTTAAAGGAGAGTGTTAAGAAGGGTGACAATGGAAGTGATGATGTTAGTAACACCGTCACCAAGACCAGCAGATCCAAGAACAGTGGAAAGGTTGTTAAGAGTATCACGAAGAGAAGTGATAACATTGATAAGAGTGGTAGAAAGAGTCTTACCAGTAAGGTCAGAAACAAGCTGGTTGACAATGGTAAGAAGGAGGTTAAGAAGAGTCTTAAGACCAGTCTTGATAAGAAGGGAGTTGAGGGTAGCAGCAAGACCAGTACCAATAGTGACACCAGTAAGAGTGTTAACAAGCTGAGTGACGACAGTGGTGATGTTGGTAAGAAGGTCACCAACAGCGCTCAATTCACCATCCAGGTTGAGGGTGCCAAGGTTATAAAGAGTTGAGGTGAGGAAAGAAGTAATAGAGAGGAGGAGGGTGGTGACAGCAGAGAGGTTAAGACCGAGGGCAGGAGCGGCCTCACGCTTAGCAAGCTCGGGAGCGTAAGGAGCAAGGATCTCCTCAGCAGTGAGAGCCTTAGAATCCTGAGCAACAGGAGCAGCAGCAACAAAAGCGGCAAGGACAGAGAAGAGAGTAACAGACTTGATGGCGACCATTTTTATATATATATATATATTGTCAAGATTGATTGATTATTGAATAATTAAATAAAAGAAATAAAGAAAAAAAAGTAAGGGGAAATACACCGCTATTTATATTTGTCTGAAAGGATTAAAATAAAAAAAGATGTCTCTAACAAAGTGAATAATTTCGGATATATATCATATATATGCATATCTATTGTTAATAGCCGCCTTTGTTATACACTTTTAAATAAATTTCCTCTTCTAAGTACGGATATTTTTTTTTAAGATTATTTTTGTAACTATTTATTTTGGAATAGTGCAGGTAACAAATTCGTATTGCTACAGCAAAGAAAATTCTAGGTTACAAGAAAAATAATTTATTCAAATTTTCTATATGCATAATTGCAAAATATTCTTTTAAAAGAAAAGAAAATAATTAGAAGTTATAGTCAAATAATGAACTCGTCAATGATAAGTTAAAACTTTCCGAACAAATATTGTAGTTTGAATAACCATCTGTATCAATAATAGCGAAAAAGTCAAAGTTTAGTGGCCATCTTTCGCTCTTTCCATAATTTGTTTTCATATAAATATGAGTATTAAATATATTATGTCACCATCTATTATAGTTTTTTTAGAAGGTGAATTCGAAAACCATATATATGGAAAAGCCATATATAGCTTTTAGCAGTTGTATTCTTAAAAAACGTTGATTATGGGTTAAAATAATTTACTGGAATCACAGCTATTAGCATTAAATAGGTTTTTCAAGTAATAATCTGTATTTCCGAGTATTTCAAGTACAATTTTCAATAATATTAAGAAAGAATAACAATAGTTTTAATTTAAGTAGGGTCATACTTATATCAGCATAAAACAATAGTTAAAACATGCTCTTTAAAAAATAAACTTGAGATAAAATAACTGCTTAAATTTGCCCATTACGTATACCAATTGATTATCTAACTAGTTAATTTATTAGACATAAATACAAAAAGATTGAATTAAACTATTTAATTATCTAATTTTTTAAACTAATAACTCAGACAATGCATTTAAAGGAGAGTGTTAAGAAGGTTGACAATGGAAGTGATGATGCTAGTAACACCGTCACCAAGACCAGCAGATCCAAGAACAGTGGAAAGGTTGTTAAGAGTATCACGAAGAGAAGTGATAACATTGATAAGAGTAGTAGAAAGAGTCTTACCAGTGAGCTCAGAAACAAGCTGGTTGACAATGGTAAGAAGGAGGTTAAGAAGAGTCTTAAGACCAGTGTTGATAAGAAGAGTGTTGAGGGTAGCAGCAAGACCAGTACCAACAGTGACACCAGTAAGAGTGTTAACAAGCTGAGTGACGACAGTGGTGATGTTGGTCAGAAGGTCACCAACAGCGCTCAATTCACCATCCAGGTTGAGGGTGCCAAGGTTGACAAGAGTTGAGGTGAGGAAAGAAGTAATAGAGAGGAGGAGGGTGGTGACAGCAGAGAGGTTAAGAACGCTGGCAGGAGCGGCCTCACGCTTAGCAAGCTCGGGAGCGTAAGGAGCAAGGATCTCCTCAGCAGTGAGAGCCTTAGAATCCTGAGCAGCAGGAGCAGCAGCAACAAGGGCAGCAAGAACAGAGAAGAGAGTAACAGACTTGATAGCAACCATTTTTTTTAAATTGTCGGGTGTTTTTTATGAAAAATAAACAATATTGAAGAGTATATAGAGTAAGTAATATTTATGAGTATACAAAAAAAAAAACTATGAAGTGGGAGATTTGGTTGGTATTTATATTTTCAGGATTTGTATTCTCTGTAAAAGAAAGAAATTTAACAATAAAAATTAATTTAAAATTATAAGGGAAATAATAAAACAAATTATTCTTAAGAATGGAAAAATGACAAATTGATTTTTTCCATATGAACCTCTATTGAACGGTAAATCAATAGCAAAAAGATATTTGTAACCAATTCAAGAATTTCTTTTTTATAATTTGTATATAATAACTAAGTAACACCTTTCTATGAACAATTCTGATGTAATATTAATAACTCATATTATTCAAAATAATTAAAAACAATTAAAAGAAGCCTTTTAAAAATATGATTTTTCCATAATTTTTAAAAGAATAATGTAATTACATTAATTATAATTAATGATAGAAAATATATTAAAATTATACTATAATATAGATTTAAAAACATTTCAAACATAGCGGTTTACTTTCTTTTAAATATTTTCGTAAAAAAACATGTTCACATTTTTTAAAAGACTATTTTCTATGATTCTTAAAATTTATATAATTTTTTTAAAATCGTAAAAGGTATTTAAGATAATCAATACCTCATAAATTGTTAACTATGACAATATATCACATTAAGAACAAATAATTACTACCTGTTATTTTTTTCAAAGATGATATCTGAAGAATAATATTTTTATTCCATATTCATTTTTAAAATTGGACTGTTGTCATCAACCACGTTTTTTGGAAAATACTTTTAGTTTACATAAGTACGAAATTAGAACAATAAAACTTCTGAATAAATGGGGGAATTTCTAGAATAAAAACAAACAATATAGGAATTTCTAATATATATTAATTATATACTTTATCAACTGATATTTGCAGATATTAAAGAAAAAGAAAGAAAAAACGAGAAGTAATAGAATTTTTTGGTACAACTGAAAAGGGTATTTTTTTGCCAGTGAAGTATAACGAATTCGACTCAAAAGTAAAGCCGACACTTCCGTTCAGATTAATTAGCCTGAAGCTGGCTATAGTTTATGTTTTTGATGAAGTAGATTAATAAATTCACTGGCGACAATACCTACATAAATAGAATAGATTTGAAAATGACGAGTTGGTTTACTCTGCTTCTCTAAAGCTTAGTATAGAGTCCAATATTCCAGACAATAGGAGCCTCACAGTTCAAAAAAAACTTGTATTGGATTTGTATTTATGTCAGACGGTGGCTAACCAAATTTAGGCAATTGAAAAGATAAAGTTCATCATGACGTTATAAATTTATATATTTATATTTTTCAGCCATTGAATTAAAACAAACAAGTAGATAAGAGCAATGATTCTCTATATACAAACAAGGGTAATAAAATAATCTGTAACATCGGGAAAAGTAGCAACCTCTTATTTTCAAAACAAGAATTTTAAAATTAAGTTAAATGAAATGGAAGAGAAATCAGAACAATTTTTAAAGAAATTCATTATAGGTCATAAAATTACATCATTATATACGTAGTCATTATTTTAAAGAAGGGTGTTGAGAAGGTTAACAATGGAAGTGATGATGCTAGTAACACCGTCACCAAGACCAGCAGATCCAAGAACAGTGGAAAGGTTGTTAAGAGTATCACGAAGAGAAGTGATAACATTGATAAGAGTGGTAGAAAGAGTCTTACCAGTGAGCTCAGAAACAAGCTGGTTGACAATGGTAAGAAGGAGGTTAAGAAGAGTCTTAAGTCCAGTCTTGATAAGAAGGGTGTTGAGAGTAGCAGCAAGACCAGTGCCAACAGTGACACCAGTAAGAGTGTTAACAAGCTGAGTGACGACAGTGGTGATGTTGGTAAGAAGGTCACCAACAGCGCTCAATTCACCATCCAGGTTGAGGGTGCCAAGGTTGACAAGAGTTGAGGTGAGGAAAGAAGTAATAGAGAGGAGGAGGGTGGTGACAGCAGAGAGGTTAAGAACGCTGGCAGGAGCGGCCTCACGCTTAGCAAGCTCGGGAGCGTAAGGAGCAAGGATCTCCTCAGCAGTGAGAGCCTTAGAATCCTGAGCAACAGGAGCAGCAGCAACAAAGGCGGCAAGGACAGAGAAGAGAGTGACAGACTTGATGGCAACCATTTTGAATATGCTTCGAAGTTTATTAAGTAAAACTAAATGTGATTTAGGATTTGATTTAAAAGATGTATTTGATAACTAAAAAAATAAGATTTCAAAATAGAAAACCATAGCCCTATTTATACTATTTTTTTTTAACAATATAGGAATAATTCTATTAATAATCAAAATATAGGTTTGCAAAATAATAAATCTCTAAACCTATTTTTTGAAATTAAAGAATAAAAAAGAACATCGATTTGTCTCGATATCCAGAGCCATATTTCCATTTTTCTGGAACTTAACGTGACATCGTAACCTAAGTGTATTCCATTGTCGTTGTCTTTCAATTAAACCACCATGCATTCTTTTCTATTCTTAACCGCCCTTCAAGTAACTTACCATGGAGAAATTTTTTCGGTTGAGTAATCCGATATTAATAGTAGCACCACATATCGGGTTAGAAGTAATCATGATATTGTTCGATTATTCCGAACATAATTTACCTTGAAAGTTCTTGTTATATCTACTCTTTTGAATAAAGGATTAATATTACTTTTTTCTATTAGAAAAATAAAATATCTGATAGAACACTTATAAGTGTTCTATCAGACTACATAGCGTAATTTTGCTATGTAGTAAAACATCATTTAACTAGTTATCACATTTAGATATTAAATTGTGAATAATGAAAAAGAAATGAAAGCCGTAAAATTTAAAAATAAAAAATAAAAATAGATTTTTAACATATTATAACTAACCAATATTTAAAAGTGTTTGGAAACTAATTAGAGTTTTCGCAAACTCAATATTAACCTGGTGTAAATTCACATAACTTTTCGCTACAGAATTTGCAATCACTATAATGGTTCAAATAAATTTTTTATTATAAATTAACCTTCTTTGTTTTTATAAATGTATTTTCAAATATTACTATTGTAAACATTGATATAATGATAGATTTATTCAATGAGATTTTAATAACCAAAGGATTATCGCAGTGGATGAATTGATTTAATAAATATAACTATATCAAAATAATATTCATTATAATGAATTAATTACTTTAAATTATTTTAGATAACCAAAGTTCGTTAGTTGGTTAGTTAATTAATTAATTTTTTTAGAACTCCATCATTGTATTTTACAAAAATGATTCTTGTCAGATTGAATAATGGCTTTATTCTCTATAGTGCCCTTAAGCGATGTTAAAAAAATTAGCAAATGATAAATATCCTATATAGGAAGACTTTACTATATTATTCATTACTTTCACCACTATATAGAATGAAAATTAGAAACAATATTTATATAAAATTTGTTTTTTTTTATTTTTAATTACTTTAAATTTTTGAAGTACTAAAAGCTATTTATTCTTTTGACAAAATTATTCAAGTTAACCGGCAACTTAAAGGAGAGTGTTAAGAAGGTTAACAATGGAAGTGATGATGCTAGTAACACCGTCACCAAGACCAGCAGATCCAAGAACAGTGGAAAGGTTGTTAAGAGTATCACGAAGAGAAGTGATAACATTGATAAGAGTGGTAGAAAGAGTCTTACCAGTAAGGTCAGAAACAAGCTGGTTGACAATGGTAAGAAGGAGGTTAAGAAGAGTCTTAAGACCAGTCTTGATAAGAAGGGTGTTGAGAGTAGCAGCAAGACCGGTACCAACAGTGGTGTCAGTAAGAGAGTTGACGAGCTGAGTGACGACGGTAGTGATGTTGGTCAGAAGGTCACCAACAGCGCTCAAGTCACCGTTCAGGTCAAGGTTGCCAAGAGAGGTGAGGGCTGAGGTAAGGAAAGTAGAAATAGAGAGAAGGAGGGTAGTAACAGCAGAAAGGTCAAGGACGCTGGTAGGAGCGGCCTCACGCTTGACAACCTCAGGAGCGTAAGGAGCAAGGATCTCCTCAGCAGTGAGAGCCTTAGAATCCTGAGCAACAGGAGCAGCAGCAACAAAGGCGGCAAGGACAGAGAAGAGAGTGACAGACTTGATAGCAACCATTTTAATTATGCTTTGTGGTTTATTAAGTTTTATTCGTTATGAAGTTATAATATAATTGATTTTGTTTTGGTAGTGTTGGTGAAGATGATCAAAAAAAAAAACCAATAACAACTGGAAATTCTATTCTTTTTATATATTTTGTTTTATTCATAATATGTTTTCATTATTATTTTTATAATTCTATTTATTTGATTATTTCCCGATTTATTCAGACTTGGTAAATATTTCTAAAAGGTTCCAGAATTCATAAATACGTAATCCCCAACCAAATGATGCCATGATTAATATTGATACCTATATCTGTGTCTATTGAATAATACAATTTTACCAAATATCAATTGTTTGTCTAAAAATGTCTCCATTTGGTAGAAAATATAAAATTTTGGAATTATCAATTATCAATTATATTTGATTAAATATTTTAATAATAGATGCCTTTATAATTAACGCTTATTAGTAGTAATTTTTAGATTTAGCTGGTACTTTTTTTAATTAACCATCCAGCTGAAAGGTTAACTACCCAGAACTGTCGTAACAAATTTTATAAAACTGGACTATTTGTTAACATTATTCTGGAACATTTCCCAAATTCTAATATGACAAAAAAAAACCATGACCTGATGACTGTTTTAAGATCATTTTCTCATTATTTTTTTAGATTAAGTTCATCAATATCGAGTATTTTAATTTTGACACAATAGTAGAAATTTATTTCTAAATAACAATTAAGGTTTTAGAATTTTTTGGTCACAAACTTGCTAACTGTAAAATAATAACATATGTCAGAATTCTCTTTTTTTCAATTCTTAATAAATGTTACTTTCCTCCAAAAATTTTGGAAAAATTCCAGTTCATTATTAAATTCTAATCTTTAATAAAAATAAAATTAGCCAAAGGCAATAACTTTGTATATCTATTAGCAATTTAATTCATTATTACAAATTCCTTAATATCATTTTATATTAATTTGACTACCTCAAAGGTTTTTAATTTTAAAACTATTTATTATTCACATTTTTATTTCCTTAATTAAGAATGTGAATAATAAACAGTTTATTTAACTCATTATAATGAGTTTATTATTATGATTTTAAAAATCCATTTAACCCTAATCTTAAGAAATTTTATTCAACAGTTTACTAGTTTACTAAATTTTAAGCATATCAATTTTTTTGGCTATTTTAGCAATTTTTCAATGATAATTTTAAGCACTTTCAATGAGGTTTAGTTTAAAGGAGACTATATTCCAAATTTAAAATTTATTTATATATTTACTTAAAACTCAAAAGTTATTTAAAGAAGAGTGTTGAGGAGGTTGACAATGGAAGTGATGATATCGGTAACACCGTCACCAAGACCAGCAGATCCAAGAACAGTAGAAAGGTTGTTGAGAGTGTCACTAAGAGAACTGATGATATTGGTGAGGGTGGTAGAAAGAGTCTTACCAGTGAGGTCAGAAACAAGCTGGTTAACAATGCTGAGAAGGAGGTTAAGAAGAGTCTTAAGACCAGTGTTAATAAGAAGAGTCTTGAGGGTGGCAGCAAGACCAGTACCAACAGTGGTGTCGGTAAGAGAGTTGACGAGCTGAGTGACAACAGTGGTAATATTAGTGAGAAGGTCACCAACAGCGCTCAAATCACCGTTAAGGTCGAGACTGCTAAGAGAAGAAAGAGCAGAGGTGAGGAATGAGGCAATAGAAAGAATGAGAGTATTAACGGCAGAAAGGTCAAGAACGCTGGTAGGAGCGGCCTCACGCTTGACAACCTCAGGAGCGTAAGGAGCAAGGATCTCCTCAGCAGTGAGAGCCTTAGAATCCTGAGCAGCAGGAGCAGCAGCAACAAGGGCAGCGAGAACAGAAAAGAGAGTAACAGACTTAATGGCGACCATTTTTAATATTGGAAAGTTGAAAGGGTGTTTTTGAAGATTTGGTAATTATATCTTTTTTGATTTGATATATATATTTTATGGAATATATTTAAGAAAAAAAAATTGATAATAACAGGATTTCTATCTGCTTTTATATTCTACTTGAATATGATTAATTTTAATTATTTCGTTCAATTTTTTAATTATTCGTAAGCTTTCTAACTACCTTGTTAGCATAGTGGTGTTTATCTCCTCTATCCAGAATTTTTTTGTAAGATGCTTATAAGCATACGTAATTACGTATTTTTCAATATCGTATATAAATGAAATGATGATTAATTAATCATTTTGGAAGTGATTATATTATTGATTTATTACCTTAAACAAACTCCAATTCTGAAATGCTTTTTTTTTCCAAAATAAATGCTCATTTTTAACAGTTGCAACTGATTGAAATTTCTTAACAATTAAAGATTCAATTTTTAGTTTTTTATCCAGAGTCATTTTGTTTTTTATCAACATATTGTTGCATTTCAACTATTATATCTACCGTATTACTTGTAGTTGTTTCTTTCTAGCTATGCTGGCTGTACAGCCATAAAGGTCTAGGAATTCTTTGTTGTAAATCCTAACATATTCTATGTAGAGAATCTTGGTTGGAGGTTTTTTGTTTTTTGCGTCTACAAACGCCTAGAGGCAAGATAGTGTTGAGATGTGTGGAAGAACACGCAAACGTAACACTGCACATTTAGCAGTTACCGACCAAAACTTGCTATGGTTAAGCTTTAGTATGGCTTTGGTCAACGTAATGCTTTGGCCACCAAAGCCGACAGTCTGGAGAAGGTGTATTTTTTGGCCACTGGAATTTGAATTTTCAATATCGCTAACTTAAGTGTTTTTGATAACCATCATTATTGCTTTTTTGTGATGCAAAGGCTATTGGTTTATAAGCTACAGTAGTTAGCTTCGGTGCCCTTTAAAGTTCAACTGTCAACAACTGTTGACAAAATAATTCACGTGACTTAATACTTGGTTCTCGTAATTAACCACTTAGTTTTGAAATTTTTAAAATTATTTTTCTAAATATAGTATATCAAGGTATTATTCCCAATTTACATCTGAGTATGAAAAATCTTTATTTTGTTCTTTTGTATTCCGTAAATTTTATCATCTTTTTTTACTCAACTCTTTTATTTTAAAATCTCTTTTCCATTATCTTGGAATAAATGTAAGCATTTTTGTTAATTACGTAGACAACTGTGCGAGATTTTCTTTTATAAAAAAAATAATTATTTTTCACTTTCGCCTTTTTTCTGGTAGCATAAAGAAGACTGCTTTTTATACCTTATTTGCAAAATAAAAAAATAAAAAATAAAAAAAAGAAAAAGGAAAACGCCGAGCCTACTAAAAACCAACTTTAAGAAATAAACGGAGCTTATAATCAAATTAACGGAAATCTCCTGATAAAAACCAGAATTTATCAATTTTGGGTGTGACAAGCTCTGAAACGCTTTAAACAGGTTCTGGATCTATCTTATGAACTTATGTTTTTTTTTCTATTTTATTAAAGCAATTGTCAGGTCTACCTGCAATGTCCTGCTTTGGTTTTACTTTTAAGAAAGGGAAATTGTGATTTGAATAATTATTCTGCTTAAAAAAAAAGAAAAAAAAAGAAAAAAGAAGAAAAAAGAAGCTCCGGTCTACATGGTTTGGATATAGGTCTCATAAAAGATTAAACCAAGAATATTATCTGTTTGCTTTTATTAATGGAATATATGTACACTAAATCTGGTGACTTGCAATCATAGGTGTATTTTTTCAGTACGGGTAATCTCAATAAATTCCCCTCGGATATCCCGGAAAACGTCTGCTTATGACGAATAGAATGGAAAGTGAGAGTCTAACTTAATATCTTTTACTGTTAAACCAACCTCCTTTTCTATTGCTCCAACCGAGCCCATCTTTTTTTTAGTGTAGTACAAATCCATAACCAATTACAAACACCATGTGTCTGTTACCAGAACACAAACATCTCCGATAAGTCTAATCAGTCTGCCCGTAGTTGTGAGCCATATATCTGGTGAAAGGAATTAAGAAATGCATGGTGGTTCTTGAAAACAAGAGGGAAAATGCTGGATATGTTTGGGACCGACGAATTGGTTTTATCTGTTCCTTGTAAGCTGGCTTTACGGCCTATTTTCCGAGCCATTTGAAGGGAGTAGATAGAAATAATCCGTACTGAAAAGGTACATCCAAAAGATGAAAAGTTTTATTTTAATAATTCTTACTAAGGCAAATTTCATTATTATTTTTGTAGGAGGGATTTTTAAAAGGATAACTGGAATTTGGCTAGCAAATCGATATATTTTTTAATGTTCAAATTTTTTTTTTCAACTATTAATATTTAATACTTAAAACGCTAATACCCCACATTTTTTTAAACTACTATCAATAATGAAATAATGTTATTAATGCAATTCAACCTACTTTTTTTTAACTGTCTGTTTTCTTTAAATAGTGATAAATCAGCGCTAAATTTTTTTGAACGAAATTAGAGCTTAAAACGGAGTTTAGTCATTATAATTACCTAGCTGAATCCTTTTGGTTAGTATTTTTTTTTAAGAATCAGGCTATTGATAACTTTGTATTTTCTCATCACAGAAGTTATATCTTTAATGACACTAATTTTAGTACCTGTGAAAAGCATTTTTTTTGTTAGATTGCACTCTAGTAGTTCATTTCTAATATATTTAGTTATTTCCCTTTAATTAGTCTTTTATTGTTTGTCTCGATCTTGTCAATTGACTTATTTCTTGATCCTATGATTAGTATAAGTAGCTTCATCAAGTCTCAGCTTCGATTCATAGCTAATATGATAGTTACGAGCAATACTGGAACTCCTCCTTCTTTCTAGCTTTTTCTTTCAGCTCATGTTGTTAAACCCATTTCAGGCAGCGTCCGCCTCTGCTATCCTCTATTTATATTCATAATTCTAATATATTTATTTGTAGTCTGTTCATTTTTAAATAATTTTACGCCGCACAAACCTTTTAAATCTAATTAAAGGTTGTTAACGCCTTACATACATCCGGAGCACAAGCATAAGCTTAAATATTTAATATAACTATTATTTTTCTAAACATCGCTAAGGCACATTTAAGTTTCTTAAAAAATTCAAATAAAGTTAAGAGTACTGTTTATTACTTGTATTTTAGGATTCTCTTAGCTATCTTTAGTCTAATTTTTGTTCTTTGCTAATATGCAGGCCATCAAAGGATATTTGAAATTATAAAAACAAAAAGAAAAAGAAGAAAAAGAAGAAGAGGAAGAAGAGAGAGCAAAAAATAAAAAAGATAAGAAAGGAGGAGTGATTTGTTAAAGGAAAGTAGTAAATGCACAAAGCACCACCAAACCAAACCAAACTAATTGGATTGTTTATGAAAGAATATCCACTACCGTTTTCTAATTTTGTATATAATCTCATAAGCTTATGATGATAGTTCTGGTATCATTAACTAAAATGGTTTGTTAATAGCATGTGATCCTATTGTTGTATTTTTAAGATGTTTTTGAGCAAACTTTGCAAAATCCTGAACTAAACTTTCAAGAAACTATTAAATTAGATCAAGATGATATTAATCGATAGTAGAATTAATCATGAAAAAAAGGTTTTGATTTCAAGTCCTTTTTTTTTTTTTGCGACGCTGTAAATATTTTTCACTAACTAGCCAGTTTAAAGATTGCTATGGAAGTTTTCAGGACTACCGCACCATACATATTCGTAGTATCAGTTAAAGTTATTATTTCTTAAAAGGAAATGTTAGCGCCTACACTTTACAAAAAAAAAAAAAAAGAAGCAACAAAGATATGCTTACTGCCATAAAAAAAAATAAAAAAAATTCCAACACACATTTGTTATGAAAACTTGAAGCTCCAAAGGTGAAGCTTCTATTTCCAAAAGCATGTTGGTTGCTTGCTAATTAGCATAATATAATGCTACATGTAGCTGAATAAACGTATTGTTTTCTTGGTTCAGATATTAATTAGTTTGTAATATTTACTTTGGTCAATTTTTATTTTTTTGTTTTGATTCTTTCAAAAATCCACAATAATGTTTCAATCTGCACTGAATCGAAAATTTGGTAACGATCTTATCTATTTGAATACAATTGATAAATGAATAGGTTTTAACCATTTGAGAAGCAAAGTTAACATTTAAGATTTTTCTGGAGAAACTACTTTTTTTTGATAATATAATCTATGAGCAAAACTTTAATGCTTTTTGGTCCAAACTTGCGGTACTGCATTTGGACTAATCGAATGTGATGCATAAAGCACAAAGTCGGTTAACTAAATATTTTTAGAAAAAAGCCAAGAACCTATATTTACGCCTAAACCAAAACTTTGGGACGTTGCTGTAAGAAATTTAAAGAAATAATAAAAACTTATGTAATATATCCTATTGTTGTATTTCCAGAAGTTCGGAAGATTTAAACTACTTTAGGCTTACAATCTTGCATTATCACTATAAAATGTTAACTGGTTTTATTGATCGACCAGTTAGTTTAATATATATAAATTTTTTTCTTTCCGAGATTTATCAAAAACGTTGCCCGTTGTAAGTACCAAATACCAACGTTTGGCCAAGATTTATGTAACCGTTAGTTTTGTAAACTTTCGTTTAAAAAATTTCTTTAGAATGTTAAGAAGCAATTGTAAATACGAATAGTTAGTTAACTTTGGGACTGGGATGGCAGCACATGGTGGAACCGTAGTCACGAAATTTGGTTTTAATAAACCAATGGGCTAGACTATCATCTGTATATTCAAAAGAAGAAAAGGTTTAAACAATGGATGAAATAGAGAACAGAAGTATAAAGGTCACCAAGAATATAAACGACCAGAAGAGACACCAACAATGGATTATGGTGTGATTCTTTGTCTTTTTTTGCCATGGGTATCAGGCATGGTGTTGCGAAGGTGCACTAACATTGGAGCCAACAGGCTTTGATCTCGCCAATTATTCTTCATATGGCGCAACATGCTTAACATGCTTAACAACTCCACACTGGACACACACCAATATTTGAAGCAATTGGGTCGGAATTTAATCCTTTTTGGATATAAATTTATATCTTTTCTTTATATATTTTTATTTATTTATTTATTTTATAAAATGTTCTCTGGTAGATTTTTTTGCACCACTTTTCCTGCTATTATATTTTTTTTGTTTTTATGATCATAATAAACACATGAGTTTATTTAATTGAATCAAACTCATTTTTTTTCGGTAACACCGAATCAATGGTGAGTTTGATAATATACGTGATTTTGGGACAAAATCATGCTTTTTTAAAAAACAAATTTTAAAATCTAAGAAAAAGATTTGGTCTGATTTTTTTTTTTTTTTGATTGTTATTTTTTTCAATAATTATGTTTTTTTTTATTTTATAAAAGAAAGATTGTGAATTTTTCTTTAAAAGAATGGGGGTCTTCGTTCGTTATTTTTCATTGTTTGATATTTCCTTTTTGGCTTATTTTTAATAGACCAACCGGTTGGTTTCATTAACGTTCCAAATTAGGATGATTAACCTGCTTCGGACCAAGAAAAGCTACCATATTTATCTTACCAATTTTAATACCAGGTAACTAAATAACTTACATGTAACTTTACATTATGTTTTGTTTTGATATATTGTTTCCGTGACAACAACATTCACGTGACTATTGTTTATTTTTCAGCATAAGTGCGGCTCAGTTAGTGGTTTCTACGGGAATTTTTTTTTTCAAAATATAAACAAACAAACAAACAAACAATAAACACAACAACAAACAGAGTGAAGGTCCCTGTTCTTTTACCCCTATTAGGACTCCTCTCTTCTTCCTTTTTTTCTTAACCATAACACACTTTTTAAACACTAACAAAACCTGTCTTCAAATCATGGACACTATTCAAAGAACTCCGCCCGTGATTGAGTTTTTGCGCGACCGCATCTACTTAGGCGCGTTTGATGTACCTCCCGAAGACACAAATGAGATGGTACACTTCACGATTGACGATTCGCTACCCTATAATGCATTCCATCACGACTTTGGGCCACTTCACTATGGATATTTGTACCGGTTTGCAGTCATTTTGCACGGTATTTTGAATGAAGAATCTAATGAAGGCAAGGCAGTATGCCTTTATTCCAAACCAAACCCTCGTGATCGTGCTAATGCTGCTTGTATTTTGTGCTGTTACATGGTATTGATACAGTCATGGCCACCTCACCTTGTGCTTGCTCCTATTGCACAGGCAGACCCGCCTTTTATGCCGTTTCGTGATGCTGGATACGCGCCAGCTGATTTTGTGCTTACAATTCAAGATGTTGTTTATGGGCTGTGGAAAGCCAAAGAAAAACGGTTTTTGGACATTGCCAATTTTGATTTGGAAGAGTATGAGCTATATGAAAGAGTTGATCATGGTGACTTTAACGAAATCCCTCCACACTTTGTTGCCTTTGCATCCCCTCAGCAAGAAGTTTATGAGACTACTCTTAACTATCCCTTCCAACAGGTGTTGGATTACTTTACAACGCATAATGTGCAACTGGTAGTGCGTCTCAATAGTCACTTATACGACAAGATGGAGTTTGAGCAGCGCGGCGTCAAGCACATTGATTTGATTTTTGAGGACGGTACCTGCCCTACCATGGAGTATGTGCAGGCCTTTTTGGGCGCTGCTGAAGGTGTAATTGCGCAACATGGAAAGATTGCTGTACATTGCAAAGCTGGACTCGGACGCACAGGATGTCTAATTGGCGCGTATTTAATTTATGCGTATGGGTTCACTGCTTCAGAAGCTATTGCTTATATGCGTTTCATTCGACCTGGTATGGTTGTTGGTCCACAACAGCACTGGCTGTATTTGCACCAAAATGAGTTCCGTGAATGGCGGCGTACTATGACAGTGTCACCAACAGCTTCCGAGAAACTTGCAGGGTTTTGTCCATTGGTCCCACGTACAGTTGCAGCTCTTGCGCTTCATGACTCTGCTACTAGCTTGACTGGTGTCCGTGGCTCAGCAGCACATATCCGTGCTGTCGGTGGATCTTTACCTACATCTGCATCTTCAACTCCTCGCACGCCTGAGCGCAGCATACTTGGAGAGGTTGGTGAGACCAATACCAATTCTGCATTACCAGTTCCAACACCTGGTCAGCCACGCAAGGGTAGCCCGTCTCCAGCACATGGGCAACGCGGGGGTTCATACTATACAAACCATCATCATAATCACCATCACAATCATAATCATAGTCACCATAGTCACCACAACCACACGCCGGCAGCGCGGGCGCGGCACGAGAGCGTGGAGGAGGTTGGTGATGTTGGGGACCGTACCCTTGCAGATGCGTTTGATGATAATGACAATATGGAAGAAGACACTCGAGATGGCGTGCAGATGCGCGCTGCACTTAATACGACTAGTTCATCACCTACAACCACTCGGGCCCGAAGTAATGCAGTTGTGGGACGCGTTAGTGGTATGTCCAACACTGGATCTGGTGTTGTTGGTATTGGGTCTCCACCTGCGACTCGCAGGCGGGCCAGCGGGCGATCAGTGGTTTCACGGTTTGCTGGTGCTCGCGTGCTGAGTGGCGACGGACATGTGCGTGTGCGCCGACCTCCTGTTGAAGGAATTTCTTATGAAAAGCCGAGCAGCGACCAGGAGAACTGTGGCATTATTGCAACTGGTGTGTCGTCAATGTATACCAACAGCGATGAAGAGAAGAATGTAGATGAGGATGAGGATGAAGCAAGTGGAATGAGTGGTGGCAGCAGCTGCAGCGGACCTATTGCAGATAATGAAGATGACGAGGCTACTGCGGCTGCAGTAGCAGCAGCTGCTCAAAGAATTGCAGGATCAGTGTTACCTGGAAAGCGCATGGTTACAGAGTCTGGTTTATCCACACGACAACAGTTGATGATGATGCGTCAAGTGCGGTCTACAAGTAATCCTGGAAATGGCAATGGCCTAACTCCAGCAAACAGTTCCACGGCTGGAAACATATCAGGGGCTGCTGTGACGACGTCAGCAACTGTTGTTTCCGTTGTTACTAGTGGCAATGGCTCTGGCAATGGCAAGTATGGAGACATTGGATATGGAGAGGGTCCTGCTCGCCGGGTACAGCGAGTAACAAGTGGGAATGGTGTACGTAAGACGAGTGGAAATAGTGCTCGTCACAAGAGATGAACATAGTTGGTTTTTAGAGAAGACAGTTATGAAAAAACGTTTGCTGATTTAAATGAATGTTGTTTTTTTTTATTCAAGGGTTACATAAATATGTAACATCAACACTATATTTTTTGCTTTTACTATATAAACTTCCGTTTTCACAATAAACTTTTAATTTGACATTGACTTTGACATTGCATCCCAAACAGCCAGAAAATAACCCCTGATGCTAGCTTATGAAGAACAGGGTATCAAAAGCCAAATCTTCCCAACTTATTTTCACATGTATCGATCAAGGCTTAAAAGTTAATTTCTAATCTCTTCAATTAAGTATTCATTGTTTGTTAAATTGTTTTTATTCAAAGAATCAAAGTATATAACACCAGCAATATCCTTTTAGATTTTACTATATAACTTTCTATTTTCACAATCAACTTTTAATTTGACTTCAACATTGCAACTTCAACAATCTCAAAACAAGTTTCAGTACCAGATTTTGAGAAACTGAAAGTAACGGACTATATCTTAAGTAAAATTTGTTTGTTTGTTTGTTTGTTTTTATTCAAGGGTTATAGAATTATATAACATCAGCATCTGCGCTATCCTTCTTGTCCATACTATATATTTTTTCATTTTGATAATAAACTTTTAATTTTGGCTTCAACATTGCATCTCCAACAGCCCGAAAATAAGTCCTGATGCCAGCTTACGAGGAACAGGGGGTTAAAAATAACCAAACCTTCCCAACCTATCTCCACTTGTCTTCATCAACGCTGTAATTGTATTTCTTAATCCCTCCAAGCAGAGATAAAGCTTACAATCTCTTGTAAGCCAGTTAAACTGTTTAAGAGAGTCGACATGTCCATCTCTGGAGATATCCGTTTCAGTCCTTTTCTTTCCTCTTCAAGCAAAGGACACTCAACTAAAATGTGATGAACTGTTTCCAGCTCTCCACATTTGCAGTTGTAACTATCCTTTTCAATTCCAAACTTTTTAAACCATGCGCCAAAGTTGCCATGGCCTGTGCGAAACTGAGTAATATTACTCAAGATCCTTCGACTATCTTTCTTCATGATCACTCCCGTAACCATTTTAGAAAGATTATCAGTACATTTCGACTCCACTGTGATATTATGATACCACAGATCCTTACTGCTGTTCCAATACATTTCCTGCCATTCTTCCATTGCTTGTTTTTTCAAAATTCCAATCGTCTGATTTTGTTGTTGTTTCAGTGTAAGAGGTTCAACCCTCTTGCATTTTCGTTTTTCATCCTTTTTAATCATATAGTCTCTATCATCTTTCGCCAACATGTAAAGCGTGGTTAGCTTTGCAATTGGAGATTTCTCAATCAATGTTAACAAATGACCATTAATAGGATTAGTTTTGCTAATATTTAGGTGTAAACGAATAGCTTTTCGTGCCACCATAAATTTTAGCCTAATACTATATGGCATAATACCAGCTTCCTTTTGTAGTACCGCAATAGGAGTTGTGCGATAAGCACCAACAATTCTTCTTAAAGCCATATTCTGCATTACTTCCAACTTGTGGATTTCTCCTTTCAAAATTTTGTGATGCCAAATTTCTAAGCCATATTCGACAATTGGTCTCACGCAAGCAATATACAGTGATCTGACTGCAGACCCTCGCATACCTTTTTGCACGCCACCAAGATGCCAAATAGCACCAACAGCTTTTCTTGCTTTATTGATTTTATTCAAAATATGAGATTTAAAATCAAGCAGATTGTTCAAAGTAATTCCAAGCAATTTAACTTCCTTCTGGGGTTCACGAAGTTCTCCATTAGGTAAAGTAAGTTGCACTTTCTCATCTTTAGGTTTCACATTTTTTGTAAAATGAATAAAACCCAATTTATCACCCAAATCAATTTTGGTCATTCTTGATTTAGCCCAATTACAACATTTTTCTAATATGTTGCTTAAGCTTTTGGTATTTTCTTCAATTTTACCTTCAACGGTAATAGTCACATCATCAATAAAACCAAAAGGAGTTCCACCCCATTCTTTAATGGCATGATACATTGGTGTGGAATATATCAAAAAAAAGTAGTGGTGAAATAGGTGAGCCTTGCGGAATTCCAGTACTAATTTTTTGCACTGATCCTTTTCTTCGGTCCATGAGCATACTAGCTTCTCTTTCACTTACAAATTGGTACGTCCAGTTTATAAGTGCTTTGGGTAGTTTCATATCCTCCATTGTGTGTGCCAATATATTTCTGTTAACATTATCAAAAGCTCCTTGAATATCAATGAGCATAGCTGAAATTTTTTCTTTACTAGTTTCAATTCTTTGGACAAGTTCCAAAACAGCATCAGTAGCACAATAACCTTGTCTTCCCCCATATTGCTCTGGTGGAAGTAAGTGTGTTGTAAGCTTGGTCATTCTTTTTGTATAATTTTTCCAGTACTTTAGATGGAATCTTAAGTAAGGAAATTGGTCGGTATGCTCTTGGCTTTGAATAGTCAGGTTTCTTAGGTTTAGGTATAACAACAATAATGCCATGTCTCCAGACTTTTGGGTGGTATCCAAACTTTACACAAGCTTGGAGAAGCTTGAAAAACCTTTCCTTAAAGTCTTTATTTAGCCATGCCATCTTTAAAACTTTGCCAGTAATTCCATCGTCTCCTGGAGCTTTATCATTTGGGGTATCAGCCAATGCAGAGTCAACTTCATCAAACTCTAATTTTGGCCATCGAGAATCGTCATCAATTTCAAACTCTCTATCAAGACCATGATCAATTTCAGGTAGAAGTGCCTTCCATATTTCATGTCTTTTTTCGTCAACAGTAGTAGTGAGAGTTCCATCTTCTTTTCTAATTTGTGGTATAATGGTATCATTGCTTTTTGGATTAATATACTTCAAAATCTTCCAAATGTCATTTCCTTCTAAACTAGACAAATATTTATTCCATTGCTCAGTACTTGCTTCACGCAAACTGTGGTCAAAAATTTTTCTAGCTTTTTTTTCGCCTCTTCAATTTTTTGTCGTTTCAAAGCCAAAGAAGGTTGTCTTTGACGGGCTTCCCTTTTAGCTTCTAGCGCTTTTTCTAACTTCTCCCTTAATTCTTGATTCCAATAGCGTTTGGACTTTTTCATCACCTTAACTTCCTTCATCGACTTTGCCATTGCTCTTTTTACAACCTCCTCAAGAACTTTAGCTTGGTCATCAATTTGGTCAGTTGATTTTAGAGTTTTGTTATGCACATTAAAATCTTTAATGGCAGAAGAAAGCTCCTTGTCAAACTTTTCCCAATCTGCATTCTTAATATTCAATCTCTTCACCGAAGTAAAAACTTCATCCCCGTTTTTACTCTGAGACATATAAATGTCCCACTCCACAATTGAGTGATCACTTAGTGTATTTTCATCCACTCCACTAAATGAAATTCTATGAAGTAAGTCCACTGAGCCATAAACCAAATCAATATTGGTTCTATTGTTGTATGTTTTTTGATTTCTTGGAGTAATTAACATCATATCATTTTCATGTAGCCACTCAACAACTTCATCTGCTTCCGTATTCGGACCTGCCCTTGACTCCCATTCCTTGTGATGTAAGTTATAATCACCTGCAATGACAATCTTTGAGTATTGTTCCTTGATCTCCCGTTTGAGAAACTCAAAAAACCGGTGGCTCAGGGTATTTCTTGGATGGTTTCGGTTGATTATAGACATTGACAATTGTAATGTCTTTAACCAAAATGGTAACCATATCTCGATTTGTAAACTTTTCAATTTTAGTAGTTAATGCTCGTAAGTCAGAGTTAGACCTAATGTAAGTAATTGCTCTGCATTTATTTTTTTTCTTTTCCAGTTTCTGTAAAGATTGGGATCCAATCTTTATGTTTAATGGGCCCATAGTTGTTAAAGTAAGGTTCTTGTAATAACAAGATATCAGGTTCTTTTTATCTAAGATAGTTTCAGTAATAGATTTCGATTTATGACAATTGAGTTGGAATACTTTATAATTCATTGGATGTAATAGAATTGTTTTCGTTTTCTTCCTCATTGGATTCATCTAGTTCTTCAATATTTGTTTCTTTCATCGGTTCATCTTGTGAGTCGTCAGTGGAAACAGGATGGGCCTCATTATCCTTTTGTCTGATTCATTTTTCAATAATCGTATCTTATTACGCATAGCTTGGAGTTCTTCAGGAGTTTTTTTCTGCTAATAAAAGGTCTAACTTTAACTTTTGTGTACTGGATAATAAGATTATCAGCACACTTTGCATAGTCTTGGGCATTTCTGAATGAAACCAATGCTGTTTGGGTAAATTGGTTTCTGCTAATGATTTTGGGTTCGGTATTCAAAACAATATGGTAATCATTAAAATTGTAGAGAGTTTCTTTCAAGTCTTCAATCGATGCCGTATTAGGTATTTCCTGAAGTACAGCCTTGTACCAAGAATCTGTGTCAAGCACTGAATAAGTAGGGTCAACTTTGGGGATCCATTCTGCAGCTTTATCAGCAAAATCTTTGTCATTAAGTTGAACATATAAATGCCCTTTGACAGTATAGCCTATTTCCTGAGCCACCGGCTTTTGTGCAACCGCATCAATTTTCTTTCCAATCGCAGGGATATTAACTCTTTTCATGGTATCTGGAATTCTTATGCACACTCTAAAAGTGGGTTTGTCTTCATCAACTTTAGTTTCACGGTGTTGTTTTTGAGCCTTCATAATGTCTTTCAACTTTGGAGTTGCTCCATTTGGAGTTTTAGGGGTCAAAGCAAAAGGCAAAGTGTCGACTTTTCTTACCGCACTCTTGATTTCCTTTTTGCGTAGCTAAGTTCTTTGGTAGTTAAATCAGCCTTAGTTGAAATAGTTCCAACTTTGTATTCCATATTATCAACTCTTTTCTCAAGATTGTTGGTCATTTCTTTGAATTCCTTGATTTCAGTGTCGATAATTCTTTTGTTTCTTGCTTTTTCTTGAGACAAATCTTGAAGAGTCATCTTAGCTATTTCATCAGCTTTATGTTTCACTTTATCGCAATGATCCTTATTATCCTTAACTTCCTTTTTAAGTTTTTCAAACATTACATGTTTAACTTCTGTGTGAACCTGATTGTTTCTCAAAACATCAAGTTCTGAGCGAAGAGAATTCACTTGTCCTTCTGAAGCCTTAAGCTTTTCGGTCAAAGCAATGAGTTGTTTAGCTAACTCATTGTTTTTAAGTTCAAGATTTTGAAATTTTATTTCCCAATCTTCAATTGTAATACTCAAGTCTTCTTTAACAATAGACAATTCAACCAGAAATACATCCTTAAGTTTTAAGATGTATTCCCAGGCTTCAGAATTATCACCAAATGGATTTGCATCCGGCATGAGAACATCCATGTCACGTGATGGTGTTGCGTCAATTTCCACATCACCACCATCTGGTGAAGAGTCAAAGGTAGGGTTCAAGGTTGGACCAACATTCACAATAGGGGTTTCAACGGGGGTTTCGTGGTTTGAAGAAGCATTATGCTTATCATTCGATTCAAGCTTTTTGTGGATAGTTTCAATTTTTTTATGGGAGTCTGGTTTTTCATTATTTTTTTGGATTTTTGTCGAGGGTTTGATGTGATGAGCTTCATGAGAATGAGGTCCTCTGGAATGAGAACTTTCTTTCTCCTTCAGTTCAACAGCAATAATTTTTTGCATATCATTAATATTAGTCTGTTCATTATTATTGTCGGTATAATTATTGTCGGCAGGAGGGTCGCCGCCACTAAACGTGGTTTGGGTGTTGTTGGGGGGGTCTGACATGGTTTTAAGTAAAATTTATCTATAATGCAATTAATTTTAATGAAGTAAATTTCTTTAAATATACCTCTTTTTTAATTTCCTCATTAGGCATTATGGCCGAGTGGTTAAGGCGACTGACTCGAATAGGTAATTTGGGATTATCAGTTGGGATTTCCCGCGCAGGTTCGAATCCTGTTGATGTCGTAATTCTAAGTATATTAAGAATTTTTTTGGTAGTTTTTATTTTTTTAATTCCAGTTAAGTTGTTGACAAATAGGTATCGTTAAAGATTCAAGTTTCGGGAGAGGTTGTGGTGGGGTGAACTAAAGTTTTAAGCGATGTTAACGTTATTCACAATAAGAAAAAAAAAATTAAAGTTGTAACCTTAATTAGATTTATGACTGAAACTTTGCTTTGATAGTTGCATTTAACTAGTTAACAAGGTAGTTTTGTGATTTCAAGTTCAAAATGGATATTTTAGTAGGTGGCTTTGGTAATTTAGAATTATTATTTAATTTAATTATACACTATTTTTTTTTATAATTATTGTTCTAAAAAATATAATTTTAACTTGGTATTTGACTAAAGTTTAAAAAAAGTGTGATTGTTAAAAAGACTGTCAAAAAAATTAAAAATATAACAGATAGACTTCGTATGATTAATAAAGATTTGAAAAAAATAACACCGATCTTTTAAAAAATATTGATTGATTTTTAATTGACACTATGCTTTAAACAAATAGCCTATTATACTAGGTTTATTATAAAGAAATTAATAACATTTTTTAATGTTGATATAAAAGCAAAAGTAAAAGTGAAAATTATTGTGTTAGAATAATATATTTACTTTTCTTTTTTTTTAACACTAAATTTTTTCTTGTTTATAGAAAGAAATATTTATATACTTTATAAAGTTTCAGTATTTATTGAACTTTCAATTTAGCTTCAAATTAACAAAGTCTCTCTCTCTTTATTTAAGATAATTATTATTATTAATCAAATTATTGTCTAATTCCAACTTTTTTTTCACTCTTGAGTGCACCTTGCCAATTGTGCCCTAACAAAATGTAATCCTTATTAAGCATTTCACAAACTCTTAATAACGATTTCCTCTTCATTTTCAACACGTTAATAACCAAAACACAAACTCTTATTAAGCATTTGCACAACCCTTCATTAAAAATGTCCTAAATGCATGATTCTTATTTTTTAAAAGTATTTTACAAATACTAAAACACTTTATTGACAATACCATATCATTTTATTGACAATCGTAAGGGCTAATATTAGAATGAAAGTGGTTTAAAAAATTTTATAACGATGGAACTTTGGGGTACAAATTTGTATATATATAAGTACTAATTAACTACCATTTTATCATTAAAAGTATGGTTGTGGCTGACTAATTTTAAAAAAATTAAGATTTATAAATTAAGGGCTTGTGTTTTCCTTAATAACTTGTTGTGAAATGGTTAATAAGCAAAGTCGATTTTGGGGTTTCAAGTAAATTTTTTGTTTTTGTCAATTTTGTATGGTAAAAAATATTTTTGTTAGGGCACAATTGGTAAGGTGGTGTATTCTTTGTAATGATTTAATCATATTAGTTTATAGTAATTTAGATGATATTGATTACTATTGTAATGTAAACTATTTAAAACATATGAAAGACAACCTTTAAAATATAGCTGGGTATATTTTTCTATTGTTTGAATCTAAACTATGATGTCGTCTTTTATATTTCTTAATTTTATCAAAACATCTTATATTGTTGGTAGTGTTTGCATGTCTTACAATCTAAAACAGAAGGGGTTTTCTTTTTATTTGTCAATGATTAATTGTTATTCTATATCAACGTGTCTGATAAACTTCAAATGTTGAAGCAACTGGTATAATGTTAAAAATATTTATGTGAAAATTCAGATTGTTATGATTATTTATTAAAATTAAAACTGAATTATTAATTCTTAATGGGGTTTCTTGTTCTATTTACATAACCTCGTTTTGATTGGCTGGTATGTTCTTATAAATCACAAATCTCTGATTATCTTTCGGTATATCATTAGCTGATGATCACAATGTTTTTGTTTCGGCTTTCTTTATTTCTTGTAAATAGCTTTGCTTTTTTGTCTCAATTACTGGAATATAACAAGTTAAGTTTTATAAAAATATATATATATATATTTTTTCTAAAAAACCCCTGGAAAGGATTCAAATTTCATTCGACAACTTTTTGGTATTTTTCCTGTTCAAGAACTTTTGGTAGTGATATTTTATTTGTCTGTTTTTATTTGTCTGTTTTTTTTTTGTCTAAAGTTACCACAATCATTCGGTTAATAGTGGGTCCAGTAGTTAAAGACCAATCGGAACCAAAAATGATGGATCAAAACTATAACTTCATTGATATTTCTTCAATCGCTTTCCCGGATAAAATGGCAATACCATGTCTTGGTTTGACATCAAAAGTAAGCCAAATTTTAGTTCTCTTTGACGTTATCTTTATTCCTCAAAGACCCTAGCGCAGGTATTGTGATTCTTTTTTTTTTTTTTTTGCATATCTCTTAATGATAATAGATAAATGAATAGTTTGGTCTTGCATAGTTGTATGTTAACAGGGACTTCCTGATATGTCATTTGGTGAGTTATTTTTTGTTCTTGTATTGAAAATTATTGTTAGGGTAATGTATTAGCATATTGTTAGTTTGTCTTTTTTTTTTTGCATTGTTTGAATTAGTGATCAACGTGCTGATATCACTTTGTCTAGAATAGGGGAATAGGGGAATAAGAAATTGGAAACTGAAATTACTTTAGTTTGTGATACTAGTGTTAGTTATCAGGTGTTTTTGCAAGTGGGTCTTTGTCAATTGTATCCTAAGTCGTTGATAACACGTTGTTGATTATGAACAATTATTTGTAGTTTGTGAATGAAACAAAAAAAAAAAGGGGGGGTGAGGAACGAGAGAAAAAAAAAATATATTTTTTATCATGAATATTTTAAGCTAAGTTAATTTAAAATTTATAAAATTATATTCATATACAAGACGTTATTAAAATAACGTACGACTAATTATGATTACACCTTAAATTAGTGTTGGTATTTCAGGGGGACAATCGTGACCATGTGCTTTTCATAATATCTTTTCATTTTCTCTGATAAGTAAATGTAAATATGAACACAATTACTTATTGTATCTACTATGATATCTAAGAATAGTATATATACATACATAACATATATTACCATTAAAACTTTTGTCAAATGTATTCTAATTAGATTATTATTTTTTTAGGATGGGGTATTACTGAAATAATATTTTTGTCATCCATTTATTCGATTCAAATAATAATGAAAAAAAAAAATCATCAGTTTAATCATAAATATAGTATTAGTTACTACTAATTTTTTTTTTTTAGAAATATTTTTGATTTCCGGTGCACTGGTTTATTGATATTTTAATGGTGTATACGATTGAAACCTGAGTGAATAAAAACAACGAGGTATCATGAAAGTTGCGTTACTTTTTCTTTCTTTCTTTCTTTCTTTCTTTCTTTCTTTCTTTCTTTCTTTCTTTTTTTTAATGGATAAACATGTTACTATACTTAACTCATTTCTTTTGTTAGAAAAACAAAAACAAAAAAAAGAACTTTATCATTACTTTTTTAATTATTGAATACATCGTTTAGTTATTGATAATTCTGAACATTCACATGGGTAAGTTTAAGAAAACCGTTTTTTTATTTTATTTTATTTTTTTATCTTTTTTTTATTTAATTTTTTTTTTTCATTTTGGCTACACAAAAAAAAAAACGGCGTACCAATACTTTATAGAATGCATCACGTGATAATGTAACACAACTTTGTAACAAAATATATTGAAACTTTTAAATCAAATGTTCATATTCAAAGAAAAAAAAACACATTATTCAAAATCTTTCATTCATTAAAAATATATATATTTCCCTTTATTTCTTAGCTTCCTTCTCCTTTTGAGCCTGCTCGTAAATCCAATCATTCATGCAGTGTCTGTTTCTAAAGACTTCAATTGCATAGAACTGAGCACGAACACTAAAGGTTGTATTTTGTTCTGTGTACTCATCATTGGCACTCAACCGCAGCAGGGTTCCAAAATTAAATTCATCCATCTTCTTTTCGTAAACGTTAAGGTACTCGCGCCACCGCTTCTTAGCTTCAGGACTCTTAAGGTCCTTAGTCTCATTCAGATTGCGCACACGCTCAGGTTCCTCAAGATACTCAGGGAAAGATGACACAAAGTGGTCGTAAATTTCATTCTCAAGAGGTGTCAAACGTAAATCAGAGCCCTTGCGGACTCGTAGCAGACTCCAATAAGCTTCAGCCTGGGCGACAGCCTTGACGGCAAACTGTTGTTCGATAGCCTCGAGATTCTCGGCATCTTCAGCGGAAAATGGTTTGGACATTTTTGTATGTGTGTGTAAGTTGATTTTTGTGTGTTTGTATGTTTGTATGTTTGTTTGATGGAGTAAAAAAAATTTTTTTTTTCTTGGTCTGAATTGCGGCGCAAACTGGTCCTTCTTATAGTTACCAGCGGTTAGGGTTTTTTTCTAGATTGTTCTGAAAGGTATTGACTTTGAGATCCTTCGAGGTCCTTTGAGATTATTCCAATTTTTTTTTTAAATAAATAAATAAATTAAAACTAAAAACTAAAACTAAAACTAAAAATTGAAAACTAAAGATTAAAAACTAAAAACTGAAAACTGAAAACTGAAAAAAAAGCAAATAAAAAGAAATAAATAAATAACACAAAATTGTTCTATGTAGCTAGGTCTATGGGGTCGACAGGAAGTCGTAAGTATCGGGTGGCTTTAATAACCACAGGGATCATTCCACCTGGAGGCACATTGAATGGCCGATGGCCTGTGACTTTAAGTAAAGAGTTAATTGTTCCTGAATGTGCAGTGATTGAAACGTAGCGCACAGCATCGAGGTCTGGGTCTTCATCATCTGGCGATTCAGCAGCACTATTTTGGTTGAGTAGGGCTCCAGAGTATGCATTGCTTGCGGCAAATAACTTGTCTAGGAACCTATGGACGCGCACGTTTTGCTCATCTGGAGTTTCACGGTGGTCGGCGGTCCACAAGACATCTTTTTCAGAGAACCCGGGCTCGAAACGGACGTCAGGATGGCGCGCAGCCACGGCGCTTTGCGGAGAACGCATGTCGCACGTGTGGACGCCAATTGTTTCGCGCAAGTCTTCGACAATGAGGGCACGACGAGAGAGAGAAGTTTTGTCAGGGGGAGCCTCTTGAGGAGGAGGTGAGGCGGAGCCTGAGTCGAGGATAAGTTTTTTAGGGCTTGCAAGAGAGGAGGATGGGGAAGTTGAGGCAGTAGCGGCAAAGACAGTGGGGGTACTTGTAGCGCTGCAGTTACTATCTAGGGCGTAGATTGAAATGTTGGATGCAGATTTTTTGCCCGTGTAATAGTTGTTTGTGGGGTTAGTTGAGTCAGAGCTTGAAATATCTGCCCAGGTATACATCATGGTATCAGTAGCCCGGGCAAAGGGGGATGCAAAGAAGGCTTTAGGTACCGGGGCATTTTTAGTAGCAATTTGGCGTTTCCATGCGATATTATTGCGTTTGGCTTGCTCGACACCTAGCGGGGTTAGGTCTGGGTCTGGGCCCCAAACCAAGTTCCCATCTCCGTCGAGCATAGACCAATATGAGTCCCATGCGGCCTGGCCATAGATTTCAATGGCGAGGTTATGGTAGCCTTGTCCATGACGAGCCACAAAAAGAAGTTTATACTTTGACTGGACGGTTCCTCCAGAGTTTCTGAAAACACGGTCAGCATCTTCTTGGAGTTGGCGAAGTTTCAAGTCTAAGGCGGGCCAGCCGCCATGAAGAACAAGTCCAAAGTCAGATTTAAGGTAAGAGAATTTGGAGTCATTAGTGGTTGGGTCATCTTGGGAGAAGATGCCATAGCCGACAGATGAGAATTCAAAGGGGGACCACGTGGGGACACGGGAGGAGGAGGAGAAGGATGAGGAGGAGGGAGGGGGGTCTAAAGAGACTACGGTTGGAGAAGAAGATTGGGAGGACCGTTTAAGGAAAGAAGATCCCATACGAAGCAAACTATTTGAGACGGTTGAAGTGGAAGTATTTGTATTTGGGGAGACGATAGTTGCCGGAGAGCTAGGTTGTTGTAATGATAATGGTGTTGCAGTTATTGTTGAAGAGATGTTTGAAAAGGAATTTTTACGAGAAGTTGGTGATAAGACCGAGCCGTATGAGGGTAAATGTTGTGGAGAAGGGGCAGAAAGTAATGCAAGGCTTGAGGATGAAGACCCAGCAGATAGGGCAGCTGCGTGTACGGCGTGAAGGCCAGGGCTTGGCGCTGAAGAGGTTCCATTTACGGTATATGAAGTATAAACTGAGGACGATGAGTATCGTCGTTGGAGATGTTTTGAAAGTCTTGTTGAGAGGTTTGGGGATGAAAGGGACTTGCGGCGTTTGCGGGAGCCATGGCAGAGAGCTGTGACAGCTGCAATACCAGCAAAGAGGAGGAAGACAGTACCCAAGAAAATGAGTGATGCAGCAACAGTCATTTCTGTAGAAGGTTGGGATGATTTTGTAGAATCTATAATGATGACAGGAGTTGTAGGCTGTGCAGATTCTTGTGGGAACCTGCGCAGAAGAGTAGCTGGTTGAGCAGCAGCTAAAGGAGGCATTGGCTTTTGTGTGTGTGTATGGGTTGAGAGGGTTTGGTCTTTTGGATAAGATATATATAAATTTATATATATATAATTATAAAGGAAGGAAAAGGGAGGAGGAGAAGGAGAAGGAGGAGTGTTGGAAGAGAGAATTTAGTATGTAAGAATGGAAATGGAGGTTAGGGTATTATGAAGTAGGGTAATTATAAGAAATTGTTACATTATTTTATATCACGTGGAGAATATTGTTTAGTAATAAGATTGTAATGTAATATCACGTGGTTTTTAATCTTTTGTTTCTCCGCCTTTTTTTTTTTTTTTTTTTCTGCATTTTTCTTGGCTTTAACAAAAAAAAAATAAAAAAAAAAAGGCGGAGAAAACGGAGGAGCGGAAAGTCTCTTCAAGTTCTCCTCTTCTCTCCAGGGCTTTAAAAAGTATTAATGAGGAGGTTTTTTTTTTTTCATATATTGAAATGATTCAAAATAAAAAAAAAATAAAAATAATTTTTCAAAAAAGAAAGAAAGATTTGATTTGATTTGATTGATTGATTGATTGAAAAAAAAGAAAAAAAAAAAAAAAAAAAAGAATCCTACTACAAACTTTTAATTTAGTAATACTCCTGTTTGTTTTTATTTATATTATTTCTTTTAATAATTGTCACCACCTATGAAAGTTTTTTTTAAGCTTAAATCAGAGTTGATAAAGAAAAATAAAAAAAAATATTCATATTCTGTGTAATTTATTTATTTTAGTCATTATTCTAATTTAATTATTATTATTTATATATATATATATATATGATCAAATTAATATAACAATTAATAATGGATGAACGGATGAATGAATGAATGAAATTGATTTATAAATATTTATTATATTATTAATTACTAAAATGGGTTATATTAATCATAAAAAACATCCATAGTTTAATTATGATTAAAATGAATCATTTATTTATAATATGAACTTGAAAAAAAAAAAAAAAAAAAAAAAAAAAAATCTCTTAAAATTTGAAATTTTTTACATTAAATTGAAATGTATTGTTATTTTATATAGTTAATCTAAAATAAAGAATTTTATTTATTTTAATTTAATTTAAAAGAGTGAGGAAAAACTATTAAGTTAATCTCTCCATAGTAAATCCTATTTTGGATCTTCCTCGGGCAAACTTTTTTTTTATCTTTTTTTTTGTAATTTGCCTTTCCGGATCATTGCAAAAAAAAAAAAAAAAAAAAAAAAAAAACGGAGAAACTGTGATATTGTGGGGGGGAGGGAGAAAAATGGAGTAGACGAAAAGAAAAACTTCGGGCTTTTTAAGTTTTTTAAGTTTTTTTTCTCCTTCATATACAATTAAAATCACTATATAAAATAAAATAAAATAAAATAAAATTCCCATATATATATATATCTTTACACGGTACATGTCCCGTTAGGGTCCCGTCCGACCGACAGACCGAATTCAAAAAAAATACAACCACGAAAAGCGTTTTTTTTTTTTTTTTAGAGGTGGAGGAAAAACTCATTTCAAAAAATGGGCGTATTAACTATTATCATTATTATATAATATATATAATAATGAACACTACTACTAACTTCAACTTCAATTTTGATTTTAAAGACATATATATATATATATATATATATGAGGAAAAAAATAGAAGAAGTAAGAAAAAAAAACCCCACTCTTTTTATTTTTTTTTATTTTATTTTTATTTTATTTTTTATTTTTTTTATTCCTTTTGGTGATTCTCTCTCTTTTTTTTTCTCTCTCTCTCTCTCTCTCTCTCCACACTTTTTACAAATCTAGCCTGGCGTCCGGCCGGAGTCTCCGTATCTCCACCACCCCGCATGACCGAAGAGCCCTAGAACTTTCATAGGTCTGCTTGGCTTTTATCATTTATTATTATTATTATTATTCCTATTATACTTATTTAAGAATTTAATTAGAATAAAGTCTTGTAATCTTGTAATCTTGTAATAATGTTTATGTCTATGTGTGTGTATTTGTACGGGACATTGTGTATATACTTGTGTGTATACTTTTTTATATTGTCCGTACATTTTCAGTATTTCCAGCCTTTCCCCCGCACTTTGACAAGTCATTTTTTTTTTTTTGGTGGTAGTACACAACAACAACAACAAAAAAAAAATGACTTTGCAGAAAAACTACCAACAAATAACACACCATCATCACTCGCACAGTTAATAACAACCCCTCACTTTAATAAAGAGGGGCCAGTGGAAAGACTTTTTTTTTTTAATACATTCATTCACTTACAATAATGGGTAGTTGAAAACTATAAAAAGGTCCTTTCGGAATCTTTAATTGTTTATTTATTTTTTTTATTTTTTTTTTTTTCCTTTCATCATCTTTTATTAATTCTATTCAATCAATATATATATACATACAACTCTCTCTTAATAACAATCAATCAATCATACATACATACAACAACTTATAAAACATAAAATATGTCTGTTGCTGAATCTTCAAACATCCACAAGTACGCTCCTCCTAAGGAGTTCCACGAAAACCACCCAGGCAAGCCGCATCTCGACAATGTGGCTCATTATGAGGAACTTTACAAGGAATCAATTGAACAACCTGATGCCTTCTTTGGCAAAATTGCTCGCGACCTCTTGTCTTGGGATAAGGACTTTAAAACTGTGCGCTATGGTGGATTTGAACACGGTGATGCTTCATGGTTCTTGGAGGGTGAACTCAATGCATCCTATAATGCTATCGATCGTCATGCTCTTAAAAACCCAGATAAGGTCGCCATCATTTTCGAAGCCGATGAACCTGGTGAGGGCCGCAATGTGACTTATGGTGAACTGCTGCGTGAAGTCTCTAGAGTGGCTGCCGTTTTGTCTTCTTTTGGTGTCAAGAAGGGTGACACCGTTGCTGTTTACTTGCCCATGATCCCAGAAGCCATCATCACTCTGCTGGCCATTGTGCGTTTGGGTGCCATCCACTCGGTTGTTTTTGCTGGCTTTTCTTCGGGCTCACTACGTGACCGTATTGTGGATGCTGACTCTCGTGTGGTTGTTACTGCAGATGAGTCTAAACGTGGTGGCCGTGTCATTGAAACCAAGAAGATTGTGGATGAGGCTCTCAAGTCATGCCCTAATGTTAAGCATACTTTGGTTTTTAAGCGTACAGGTAATGAGTCTATTCCTTGGAATAAGGACCGTGATTACTGGTGGCATGAGGAGGTTGATAAGCACCGTCCTTATTTCCCACCCGTGCCTGTTAATTCAGAAGATCCCATTTTCCTTCTTTATACTTCTGGATCCACTGGCTCTCCCAAAGGTGTTGCCCATGCTACAGCAGGTTACCTTTTAGGTGCTGCTACTACTACTAAGTATGTTTTTGACTTACACCCTGATGATATTTTGTTTACTGCTGGTGATGTGGGTTGGATTACTGGTCATACATATGTGTGTTATGGACCTTTGCTTCTTGGTGCTACGACAGTTGTGTTTGAGGGTACTCCTGCATTCCCCAACTTTTCACGTCTTTGGGATATTGTTGATGCACACAAGGTAACGCACTTTTATGTTGCTCCTACGGCTTTGCGTCTGCTGAAGCGTGCTGGTTTGGAATGGATTAATCATGATTTGAGTTCTTTAAGAACTCTTGGGTCTGTTGGTGAGCCAATTGCACCTGATGTGTGGGAATGGTATAATGACAATATTGGTAAGGGTAAGGCACATATTTGTGATACATATTGGCAAACAGAGACTGGTTCGCACATTATTTCTCCAATGGCCGGAGTGACTCATACTAAGCCAGGATCTGCATCATTCCCAGTGTTTGGTATTGATCCTGTCATTATTGATCCTGTTTCTGGTCAAGAACTTAAGGGTAATGATGTTGAAGGAGTACTTGCTATTCGCAATCCATGGCCTTCGATGGCTCGTACTGTGTGGAACTCTCATAAGCGTTACTTGGAGACTTATTTGAAGCCATATCCTGGATATTATTTTACAGGAGATGGAGCAGCTCGTGACCATGAAGGATATTATTGGATCCGGGGTCGTGTTGATGATGTTGTGAATGTTTCAGGACACCGGTTGTCGACGGCTGAGATTGAGGCTGCTTTGATTGAGCATCCTGCAGTTGCTGAGAGTGCAGTTGTTGGTATTTCTGATGATTTGACTGGACAGGCGGTGAATGCATTTGTTGCACTTAAGGTGAAGCCTACAGATGTTGCGGCTACCAAGAAGGAGTTGATTTTACAAGTTCGTAAGACGATTGGACCCTTTGCTGCACCTAAGAATGTATTGATTGTTGAAGACTTGCCTAAGACACGATCTGGTAAGATTATGCGTCGTATTTTACGCAAGGTTTTGAGTGGAGAGGAGGATTCATTGGGTGATATTTCGACATTGTCTAATCCTGAGGCTGTTGAGAGTATCATTGCCATTTGCAAGGCTGAAAGAAAGTAATAAAAAAAAAAAAAAAAAAAAAAAAAAAAAAAAAGAACTCCCCCCAGCCACATTGGATAAATGAAAATGAAAATGAAAATGAAATATAAAAAAAATTAAAAAAAATATTAAAAAAATAAAAAATAACAATATATACAAAGTAAGCCACAGATAAATATATTTAAAAGCCACATTCTATTATTTCTATACATCATAAATTCATTAAAAAAAAAAGAGAGAGAGAGAGGGAAGGGGAAGGGGAAGGAGGAGGAGAATAAAAAAAAAAAAAAAAAAAAAAGGCCCCTAAAAAAATTGATAAACTTAGTTTTCAGTGATGTAATATAAACTTTGATCTTCATCTTCCGGAATGTCGAGCTCCGATATCAGACCAGAACCCACATCATAAACCACACCATGGACTTGAAGTTGACCAGTACCGACAGCTTCCATGACGAGATCATTTCTAAGGACATTATGAACTTGGGCAATAACATTAAGCTCAGCTAATCTGTTAGCCTTTTGTCTTGGGTCTTTAATTGCATCAAGTTCAATACGGTGTTTGACTTTAACATCACGGATACCTCTTAGCCAGTTATCAATGAGGCCTAATTTTTTTGTAGTAAGTGAAGCCCAAATACCACCACAATCATAATGGCCACAAACAACAATATGTCTAACTTTAAGTACTTGGACGGCATATTGAATTACTGAGAGGGAGTTGAGATCACCATTATGAACACAGTTTGCAATATTTCTATGGACAAAGACTTCACCTGGTAATAAGTCAAGACAAGCTTCTGAAACACGAGAGTCTGAGCAGCCAATCCATAAGATTTGTGGAGATTGACCTTGTGCATTTGTTGGGAAGAGAGAGGGACGGACTGTTTGAACACGTTCTGCCCATTCTTTATTTCGTTGGAGAAGGGTAGTGAAAGCTTCACCGGGGGGGAAACGAAAGAGTTGTTTAGGAGCCATTGTTGAAGATGTAGAAGGTTTAGAGTGGAAGAATTTTTTATGAGAAGATGTTGTTGATATTGATGTTGATGTTAATTTTAGTGATGATGATGATGATGATGATGATGATGTATGGGAGGAAGAAGAAGAAGAAGAATAGGAAGAAAAAAAAGAAAGGGTAGAAATATTTAAAAGTGTGAGGGAAGTTTGAGGTTTATATAAAAATTGAGAGAGAAGATTATTATTATTATGATGATAATAATGACGAGGGGATGAATATGAAGATGATAATTGCGATAAAAGACGCGGTGACGACGGCATTTGAATATTTTTTTTAATTTTTAATTTTTAATTTTTAATTTTTAATTTTTTGGGCGCGAGAGATAAATTAAAAAAAAAAAAAAAAAAAAACTTGCCAGCAGAGAAGATATGATTGCGGCGGGTGGGTCTAAAAGTAGTTTTTGTGGGTTTTTTTTTTTTTTTAATGATTGATTTAATGGTTGATTGATTGATTGATATGGGAAGGTATTAAGAAGGGAGGCTGACTAACTGAGGATAAAATGGAGAGGAAAAAAAAAAAAAAAAAAAAATTTGTGATGATGCAAGCAAAAGTTTTTTTTTTTTATTTTATTTTTTATTTTTTTATTTTTTTTTTTTTAAGGTTGCTACTCACTTGTTGGGTGGTGTGGCGCGTGTGTTTTGTATGAGTATTTGTTTTTTGTTCTCGGGCTCAAAAATCCGGTTAGGAGCAGTATAATAAAATATTAGTAGTAGTAGTAGTAGTAGTAGTAGTAAAGAATAGTAAAGAAGTAGCAATGAAAAAGTTTTAAGCAAGTTCTTTTTTGTTTGTTTTTTTTTTTTGTTTTTTTATAAAAAAAATAAAGTGGAAACAAGTCAAGTTTTATAATTTCTAATTTCAACAAAATATTAAACAAGGTCTTATTCAAAATCGGTCTTTTGACCGGGAAAAAGAAGAAGTTGAATTGATTTTGATTTAAAGAAAAGAAAAAGTAAAGAAAAAGTAAAGGTCCCCACTTTATGACCGGAGCATTTAAAAAGCACCGAATTCAAAATGACTTCTTCTTCTTCTTCTTCTTCTTCTTCTTCTTCTTCTTCTTTTACTCCTCCCCCCCCCCCACACACACACCTTTATGTACAATTAATAAAAGATTTCGGTGTATTACCGGGATGAGTTTTTTTTTTTTATTTTAATTTAATTTAATTTATTTATCAATTTGATTAATTGAATAATGATTATTTAAAAAATATATATATGAATGTATATACTGATTTATACTGGATATTTTTAAAAAAAAAAAAAAAAAAAACATGTGCATTGAGGATATATACTCAGGAGAAGTTATTATAAAAAAAAAAAGAGTACTTGATATATAAATATATACCTTTAATTGAATGATATTTTGTATATGAATAATAATAATAATAATAATAATAATAATAATAAGGAGTCAATTATAATTGATAATGTATTAAAATAATAACTAATATTGATTTTTATATAGAAATTATCTCTCAAAATTCGTATATATATAAATTTATATTCAAAAAAATATTTGAACTACATAACGTGTTGTATAAATATTTAGTAAATAGTATGGTATAAACAATAATTAAAATAAAAATCAAATATGAAAAGAAAAAAAGAAGAAGAATTCAATCAAAAAAAAAAAATAAAAAAAAAAATTACTTTTTAATGTGATTTTCAATGATTAGTGAAAAAGGGGGGGGAAGGGGATTAAAGTGGATATTTGAAATAGAAAAAAAAAAAAAAAAAAAAAAAATCCTCAAAATAAAAATAAAAAAAATAAACCCTTAATATTCAAAAAAAAAAAAAAAAAAAAAATATAATTTTATGAAAAATGAAAAGTTTTTTTTTTATTAAAACGGCTTTTTTAATTTCCTTTTCTAATCTCTTCATCATCTCATCTATATATATTTATATATCCAATCAATCAAAGGGTTTATTTATTTATTTTTTTTTTTTTGAGCAATTGAGTTGGAAATTTTTTTGATCTGTTATTGTAGTCGTTATTATTGCTTTTTTTTTTTTTTTTTTTTTTTTTGTGATAGCAACTTTAAAAAATTTTTTTTTTTTTTTTTTTCTATTCACAACAACAATTTAAGTTTGCTATTTTATGTACGTGTGTGTGTATTAAATAATTATTTATAAATAAATAAATAAAAAAAAAAATTCTTCTTTTTCTTTTTTTTTTTTTTTTTTTCCCTTGAAAGGTAGTGTGGTAAACGGCTGATATTTATGCGTAAGGTTGCTATCACGTGAAAAATCCATTATAAGATTGCTCTTGCTTACCTAAACATGTTACATAAGCAGCAACCTATATTACAACTATCTAAAAAAATAAAAAAAATAAACTGTTACAGTTACAATTACAATTACAATACGGCGTTAACAAATACGCGGCTGATGACACATATAGAAAAAAAAAAAATTTTAATTCGGAAAAAAAAAAAAAAATTTTTTTTTTAATTTTTTTTTTTTTTTTTTTTTTTATCGTAAGAAAACTTGTCAAAAAGTAAATCGCCCTATATATTTTTTTACTTAAATCTGGCCGTTTTATTTAATTTTTTTTTTTTTTTTTATTTAAAAATCTTTAAAATTTTCCTTCCTTCTTTCTTTTCTTTCCCCTTCTTATTTTATTTTTTTTATTTTATTTTATTTTTTTTTTTCTCTCTTTTCTCTCTTTCTTTCCTTCTCCCTCATCTTCCATAAAATCAACCCAACCTGCTACTCAAAATTACCCCCAAAAAAATAAATCCATCATTTTTTTTTTATATTGATATATTGATATTATATATATATATATATTCTATTTTCAATATATAAAATATTAATAAAAAACAACCAACCAACCAACCAACCAACCAAAAATATCTCTCTTAGGTTAAGAAATCTTTTACTAGACGAAAAACCTTTTTCATTTTTTTTTTTTTTGATATTTATTTATTTATTTTGAAACAAAGGAACTTTTATATATACAACCAAAAAAATTTTTTTAGTTCTTTAAAAAAATATATATATATAATAATCTCAAAAAAAAAAAACAACCCCCCCCAAGGAAGATCGAGGTGAGAATTTTTTATTTATATTTATATATATTTTTTTTTTTTATTTTTAAAAAATGAATTCAACAATACTTTTTATTTTCTCTTTATTTTATAATAATAAAATATATATATATCTTCGACAAATTTCCTAACTTCTTCTTAGCAGCAAAAAAAAATAAAAAATCTTTTTCTCTCAAAAAACAACCAACCAACTCAAACAACCAACCAACTCAAACAACCAACCAAATCATACTTTTTTTTTTTTTTCCTAAATAAAATTCTTAATTGAAGTTTTTCACAAAAAAAAAAATTTATTATTAATAATTAAAAAAAAGTATGTGTGCTCTTGAAAAAAAAACCAAAAAAAAAAAAAAAAAAATTTTTTTTTTTTTACCCACCAAATAACAAATTTTTCTAACACTTTCTTCTTTTTTTTTTTTTTTTTCTTTTTTTCTTTTTCAAGTGTCCATCTCGGTCCCTATTTTCCCTCCCCTTCATCCCGATCATAAGCTCACTACCCTTGAGCTTAAGGATGGTACCCTCATCCAAGGTTACTCTTTCGGAGCTGACAAGTCCACTGCAGGAGAACTCGTTTTCCAAACTGGTATGGTTGGCTACCCAGAGTCAATCACAGACCCTTCTTACCAAGGCCAAATCCTTGTCATTACTTTCCCACTCGTCGGAAACTATGGTGTCCCCTCTCGCACTGAAATCGACCCCATTGTAAAGTCTCTCCCAAAGTACTTTGAATCTAACAAGATCCATGTCGCAGGTCTCATTGTTGCCTCATACACTGAAGAGTACTCCCACTACCTTGCTACCTCTTCCTTAGGCTCTTGGCTTAAAGAAGAAGGCATCCCTGCCATTTATGCCGTCGATACACGCTCCCTCACAAAGTACATTCGTACTCGCGGTTCTACCCTTTGCAAAATATTATCAAGCAAAAATACTTCATCTACCCCTAAATTCCCAGCCGATTTTAATACCATTGAATGGATAGACCCCAATACTAGAAACCTCGTCAGTGAAGTCTCCCACAAACAACCAACCCTCTACGCCCCTCCCACAGATAGACCTCTCCTCAAGGGCCCAGATGGTAAGGTCATTCGTATCCTTGCTATTGATGTCGGTATGAAGTACAATCAAATCCGCTGCTTTGTCAACCGCGGTGTCGAACTCAAGGTTGTCCCTTGGGATTACGACTTTTCAACAGAAGAATACGACGGTCTCTTCATTTCAAACGGTCCAGGTAACCCAGAAACTGTCGCCCAAGTCTCTAAGAATATTAAGCCCCTTCTCGACCAAAATTCAAAGACTCTTAAACCAATCTTTGGTATCTGTCTCGGTCACCAGCTTTTGGCCATTGCCTCTGGTGCTTCTACCCATAAACTCAAGTTTGGTAACCGTGGTCACAATATCCCTGCTACAAACCTCATTTCCGGAAGATGCTACATCACCTCCCAAAACCACGGTTATGCTGTCGACGTTGAAACCCTTTCTTCTGGCTGGAAGGAGCTCTTTGTTAATGCTAATGATGGCTCTAATGAAGGTATCTACCACGAATCACTCCCCTTCTTCTCTGTCCAATTCCACCCCGAATCTACCCCTGGCCCCCGCGATACTGAGTTCCTCTTTGACACCTTTTTGCAAACAGTCGTTGACTTTAAGGCTTCAAAAACTCTTAAACCTGTTACTTTCCCCGGTGGCACCCGCGCTGAAAATGACTTGAAGCACCCCCGTGTCAAGGTCCAAAAGGTCTTGGTCTTGGGTTCCGGTGGTCTTTCCATTGGTCAGGCTGGTGAGTTTGATTATTCTGGATCCCAAGCCATCAAGGCTCTTAAAGAAGAAGGTATCTACACTATTCTTATCAACCCTAACATTGCCACCATTCAAACATCAAAGGGTCTCGCTGATAAGGTTTACTTCTTGCCCGTTACCCCTGACTTTGTCCGCAAGGTTATCAAGTACGAGCATCCTGATGCCATTTACGTTACCTTTGGTGGCCAAACTGCCCTTAACGTTGGTATCCAGCTTAAGGATGAGTTTGAGTCTCTTGGTGTTAAGGTATTGGGTACCCCCATTGATACCATCATCACCACTGAAGACCGTGAGCTCTTTGCCCGCTCTATGGAGGAAATTGGTGAAAAGGTTGCCAAGTCTCAAACCGCTTCTTCCATCCCTGAAGCTCTCGAAGCTGTCAAGGGTATTGGATTCCCAGTCATTGTTCGTGCCGCTTATGCTCTTGGTGGTCTCGGCTCGGGCTTTGCTGAAAATGAAGCTCAACTTGTTGACCTTTGTAACAAGGCCTTTGCTGCTTCTCCTCAAGTTCTCGTCGAACGCTCTATGAAGGGCTGGAAGGAAATTGAGTACGAAGTTGTCCGTGATGCCTTTGACAATTGTATCACTGTTTGCAATATGGAAAACTTTGATCCTCTTGGTATCCACACTGGTGATTCTATTGTCGTGGCTCCTTCCCAAACTCTTTCTGATGAAGACTACAATATGCTTAGAACTACCGCTGTCAATGTCATTCGCCATCTTGGTGTTGTCGGTGAGTGCAACATTCAGTATGCCCTTAACCCCTTCTCTAAGGAATACTGCATCATTGAAGTCAATGCTCGTCTTTCTCGTTCTTCTGCCCTTGCCTCCAAGGCTACCGGCTACCCCCTTGCCTTTATTGCTGCCAAGCTTGGTCTCAATATCCGTCTTGATGAAATTAAGAACAAGGTTACCAAGGTCACTTGCTCCTGTTTTGAACCTTCTCTCGACTATGTCGTTGTTAAGATCCCCCGTTGGGATTTGAAGAAGTTTACTCGTGTCTCTAAGGAACTTTCTTCTTCCATGAAGTCTGTTGGTGAAGTCATGTCTATTGGCCGTACTTTTGAAGAGGCTATCCAAAAGGCTATCCGCTCCACTGACTACCACAATCTTGGTTTCAACTCTACTGATGCTCTCATGTCTATTGACATTGACTCGGAGCTTCAAACCCCATCTGACCAACGTCTTTTTGCTATTGCCAATGCTCTTGACTCTGGCTACTCGGTCGATAAGGTTTGGTCCATGACCAAGATTGACAAGTGGTTCCTTAACAAGCTCAATGGTCTTGTCCAATTTGCAAAGTCTCTTACCCAATACACGGTCCACCAAATCCCTCTCAATGTCATTCGTGAGGCCAAGCAACTTGGCTTTGAAGACCGCCAAATTGCCAAGTTTGTCGGCTCTAACGAGATTACCGTTCGCCGCCGCCGTGTCGAAGCCGGTATCACTCCCTTTGTCAAGCAAATTGATACCGTTGCTGCTGAGTTCCCTGCTTACACCAACTATCTTTACTTGACTTACAATGCCGACTCTCACGATATTGAGTTTAACGACCACGGTTACATGGTCCTTGGTTCTGGTGTTTACAGAATTGGTTCTTCTGTCGAGTTTGATTGGTGTGCTGTCCGCACTGTTCGCACTCTTCGTGAACAAGGCGCCAAGACTATTATGATTAACTACAACCCTGAAACCGTTTCCACTGATTACGATGAGGCTGACCGTCTTTACTTTGAAGTCATTAACCTCGAGCGTATTCTTGATATTTACGACCTTGAGGCTTCCTCCGGTGTTGTTGTTTCTATGGGTGGTCAAACTTCTAACAATATTGCCCTTACTCTTCACCGCCAAAATGTCAAGATTCTTGGTACTTCCCCTGAAATGATTGACTCTGCTGAAAACAGATACAAGTTCTCCCGTATGCTTGATACCATTGGTGTTGATCAACCCGCCTGGAAGGAACTCACTTCTTTTGAAGAAGCTGAGATTTTTGCTGACAAGGTTGGTTATCCTGTTCTTGTCCGTCCCTCTTATGTCCTTTCTGGTGCTGCCATGAATACTGTTTACTCTAAGGACGATCTCAAGTCTTATCTCCAGCAAGCTGTTGAGGTTTCTCGCGATTACCCCGTCGTCATTACCAAGTACATTGAGAATGCCAAGGAAATTGAAATGGATGCTGTTGCCAAGGATGGTAAGCTTCTTATGCACGTTGTTTCTGAGCACGTTGAGAATGCTGGTGTTCACTCTGGTGATGCAACCCTCATTGTCCCCCCCCAGGATCTTGACCCTGAAACTGTCCGCCGTATTGTTGTTGCCACTGCTAAGATTGGTAATGCCCTTAATGTCACTGGTCCCTTCAACATTCAATTCATTGCTAAGGACAATGAAATCAAGGTCATTGAGTGCAACGTCCGCGCTTCTAGATCTTTCCCCTTTGTCTCCAAGGTCCTTGGTGTTGATTTGATTGAATTGGCCACAAAGGCTATTGCCGGTTATGACGTTTCTCCTTATCCTCCTGTTGAGATCCCTGAGGATTACGTTGCCATCAAGGTTCCTCAATTCTCCTTCTCTCGTCTTTCCGGCGCTGACCCCATTCTCGGTGTCGAGATGGCTTCCACTGGTGAGGTTGCCACTTTTGGCCACAATAAGTATGAGGCTTACCTCAAGTCTTTGATTGCCACTGGTTTCACTCTCCCCAAGAAGAATATTTTGCTCTCCATTGGTTCTTATAAGGAGAAGATGGAACTCTTGCCCTCTGTCAAGAAGCTCCACCAGCTTGGTTACTCTCTCTTTGCCACCTCTGGTACTGCTGACTTTATCCAGGAACATGGCATCCCTGTCCAATACCTTGAGGACCTTGACGAGGCTGAAGGTGAAAAGTCTGAGTACTCTCTTACCCAGCACTTGGCCAACCACCTTATTGACTTGTACATTAACTTGCCCTCCAACAATCGCTTCCGCAGACCCGCCAGTTATGTCTCCAAGGGTTACCGTACCCGTAGAATGGCTGTTGACTATGCTATTCCTCTTGTGACCAATGTCAAGAATGCCAAGCTCCTTATTGAAGCCATTGCCCGCAATAGCTCTTTGGAAATCTCCTCGGTCGATGCCCAGTCTTCCCACCGCACTGTCACCCTCCCTGGTCTTATTTCCATTTCCACCTTTATTCCTGGCTTGACTGATGTTACCACTGGTCCTCAGGATGCTTCCAAGGTCCTCAAGACTGCTCTTGCTTCTGGTTTCACCATGAACCGCATCATGCCCATCTCTTCTGATGGCTTGCTCACTGATGCCGCCGAGCTTAAGATTGCCCAAGACAATGTTAAGAACAATGCTGCCACTGACTACAACTTTTCTGTGGCTGCTACTGACTCTAACTTTGGCGAGCTTTCTCACATTACTGGCTCTGTTGGTTCTCTTGTTGTTCCTTACCACTACATTTCCAACAACTCCAACACTGTTACCACTGTTTCCGAGCACTTTACCCACTGGCCTTCTTACAAGCCCATTGTCACCGATGCTAAGGCTGCCTCCATTGCTTCCATCTTGCTCTTGGCTTCGCTCCACAACCGTCCCATCCATATTACCAATGTCACCAACAAGCAGGACATTAATCTCATTGCTCTTTCCAAGGAAAAGGGTCTTCGCGTCACTTGCGATGTCTCCATCTACTCACTTTTCTTTGCTGCTGAAGATTTCCCTGAGGTCAAGTCTAACTTGCTTCCCTCCAAGGCTGACATTGCTGCTCTTTGGGACAATCTCAAGGTCATTGACATTTTCTCCATTGGCGGTCTTCCCTCTCGCTTGGCTCTTGAGCTTGGCTCTAAGGACATTGCCGGTGCCGGTATTGCCGATGCTCTTCCTCTTCTCTTCACTGCTGTCAATGATGGCCGTCTCACCATTGACGACATTGTCTTGAGACTTTACACCAACTCTAAGCGCATCTTTGAGCTTCACGATCAGCCAGAGACTACCGTCGAGATTGACTTGGACCGCATTTCTGAGGCTCTCAAGCATTCTCAGACCTTCTCTCCTGTCTCCGACAAGCCCCTCCGTGGTTTTGTTGAGCGTGTTACCTTCAACGGTAAGGTGGTTGCATTGGGCGGTGAGCTCACTTCTACTGAGTTCTCTGGCAGAGACTACTCTTCTGTTCTTTTGCCCCACGTTGCTGCTCTTGCTGCTGGCTTGAACACTGTCACTGGTGTTTCTGCTCTTTCTTCTGGAACTTCTTCCATTACTGAATCTTCGGGCGCTCCTCTTGCTCCCATCATCACCACTCCTGGCTCCCCCCGCACTAAGCGTGTTTCCTTCAGCACCGCTGACCTCAAGTCTCCTCTTTACTCTCGTGCCGAGCTTGCCTCGTCCGTTATTAAGGAGGATGAGTCTATCATTGACACTCCCTCTGTTGAGGCTTCCGAGCAGTTTGTTGCTATTCGTGAACCTAGCCCTCCCTCGGCTATCCGCGAGGCTCTCCGCAACAGTCCATTTTTACGTCGCCACGTTCTTTCTGTTCAGCAATTCTCGCGCTCTGATCTTCACCGCCTGTTTGCCACTGCTCAGGAAATGCGTCTTGCTGTTGAGCGTGTTGGTGTTTTGGACGTTCTCCGCGGCCGTGTTTTGACCACCCTCTTCTTTGAGCCTTCTACTCGCACTTCCAGCTCCTTCAATGCCGCCATGCAACGTCTTGGTGGCCGTGTTGTTGCTGTCGCCACTGAATCGTCCTCGGCTAAGAAGGGTGAGACTCTCCAGGATACTATCCGCACCATGGCTTGCTACTCTGACGCTATTGTCTTGCGTCACCCTGAAGAGAGCAGCGCCGCCATTGCTGGCAAGTACTCCCCTATCCCCGTCATCAACGGTGGCAATGGCTCTGTTGAGCATCCCACCCAGGCCTTCCTCGATCTGTTTACCATTCGCGAGGAGCTTGGTACTGTGAATGGCATCAATGTTACCTTTGTTGGTGATCTCAAGTACGGTCGCCCCGTTCACTCGCTGTGCAAGCTGCTTCAGCACTACAATGTCAAGATCACTCTTGTCTCACCTGCCGAGCTATCTCTGCCTGAGTCACTCAAGGCCAACCTCAGCAGCACTGGCCACCTTGCTTCTGAGTCTGAGCTCTTGACAGACTCTATCATTGCTTCTTCTGACGTTATCTACTGCACTCGTGTGCAGAAGGAGCGTTTCGCCAATGTCGCTGACTTTGACCGCCTCAAGGATACTTATATCATTGACAATGCTGTTCTTGCTAAGGCCAAGAAGCACATGTGCATTCTGCACCCACTCCCCCGCAACAATGAAATCTCGGAGGAAGTGGACTTTGATAACAGAGCCGCATACTTTAGACAGATGCGTTACGGTCTGTTTGTTCGCATGGCTCTTTTGGCCATGGTCATTGGTGCTACTGAGTCTGCTTAGTAGAATAATTTGTGAATGAAAAAATAAAAAGAATTTTTTTTAAAAGAGAAGAAAGGAAAAAGTTTTGGTTGTCTTTTTTCTTTTTTTTTCACTTAAATATTTTTTCTTTTTTTTTTTTCACTTTACAATTATTGGATTTGATTTCTTTTTAAAAAAAAAAAAAAAAAAAAAAAGAAAAAGTTGATACACATTTTTTTTGGTTGTTTTTTATTTTTATTTTCATGTTGTAATTTTTATTTTGGTATATACATTTTATGTATTTATAAACTTTTTAATAGATTAAAAAAAATATTCGTTTTTAAATTATCAAAAAAATTTTTTTTCAGTAATAATAGATTTATTTTGATATATTTCATTTTTAGTCATTTACTCAATTCGTGATAAAATAAACCTATATGATTAAAAATAGAAAGAGAAATTTGTATTTTAGATATTCTTTTAGCCTTTAATAAAATATGGAGGGATCATTTTCGATTAATCGATATTATTGTTCGGAATATATTCCCAAAAAAAAAAAAAAATAAAAAATAAAAAAAAAATTATTCGTGTGTATCAAGTAGTTTTTATTTTTTTAAACCCTTACCCTTGAGGAATCTTCATAAACGATGTAAGATACGATAAAAGTTACGATCTGATTTTTTTGATACTTTCAAGTATCAACCAACTCTCACCTGAGTTTTATAAAGATTCCTTTAAAGGTTATGAAAAAAAAAAAAAAAAAAACAAATTGATATAAATCTTTAATTAAAATCTAGTATCTATTTATCTATCTATCTATTTTTTTTTTTTTTTTTAATCAGAGACATTAAATTTTGAAAAAAAAAAAAAAAAAAACTCCTGTAAAAAGTATCCTCACATATTTCTTTACTTTAGAAATTTAGAAATTATCTTGAGAGTGGATAGAGTACTCAAATAAATAAATATTTAAATATACTGTCAAGATCATTTATATTTTGTTTTTAAGAAGAAAAAACCAATTAGAAGAAGCAAAAATAGTATGACACTATTCCTTTTTCATTTCTGACTGTACTTTATATAAATCCATGTTAAACTAACTATTATTACAAAATAATATGCCAACTGAGAACAACATAAAAATTTTTTTTTTCTTTTTTTTTAAACGTGTCGGGAACATTTCATCTTCAATTCTGTATATAAAAACTTGTTGCTTTATTTTTCAAATTTTTTTCAGTTTATACAATTCTTGAAATTATGCTAAAAAAAGAATTGTTTGTTAAAAAAGTTTAAAAATATATTAACCTTAACCGAAAAAAAAAACATTTGATATACCAATTCTCTCGAGAACCTCAAATATATATTTTCTCGTAAAACGTGTGATAATGTTTGTAAACATGGCTCATTATAACTGGAAAATTCTGTAGAGTTTGAGGGGGATGTGAGAACATAGTATCTAACCTTGTAGATCTCATTCCTAACTATCTTGAAGATAGATTCAATCCAATGAAACTTTTTAATGTCATCCATAATTTCCTTGAGTTGTTTCATGTATGGGTTTGTAATGAGTTTATTGCAGGGCTTTTTATTAGTTAAGTTTTATAAGAGTATGATCTAAGAGTGTTTGCTCATTTCCCTAGAATAAAAATATATCCCAGAGCGATGATGAAAAATTGATGTCTCTAACAAGGTATCTTTCTTTCTGCTGGTGATGACTTCATTATGGATTATTGAGAAGGGATATTTCCAATTTCAGAAGAGTCATCTCCTATCACCATGACTTTATGATATCAAGCCTAGTAAATCTTTTCATGTTCGCTCGATAGATTACGATAAATGAAGAATGTGAAGTTCCATTAAAGGAAACTTATTTGGAAAATCCATTGAGATAACAGGTTAAGCTTAACCCCGGCATAGAAGAAAACCAGGAGCAAGAAAATGTTTTTGGAAACTAACTAGTTATTTTGGTCAGGTGCAGTTCCTGATTCTAGTTTTTTTTGATAGTTTAGCCACGAATTGAAGTCTTTTCTTTTTTTTTTTTTTTTTTTTTTTTCAAAACACGAGGAAGGGGGACAGGTCAAACAAAAAGAAAAGCAGTGTGATGTCATAAAAATATTGAATATTTATGTAAGTTACAAGGTATTCTGCAAGTTTTAACTAAAACTTTTACTTAAATAGGAAAAAAATGTAGACTACAACGTTTGAGATTCAAATGCATCATGTATGCCAGAAATATTACTGTTTTTAGATTGAAATAAAATTACGTATTCCAAAGTTAATTAAATTTGAATAAAAGTATTTTAAAAAGTATTAAACTAAAAATATTAAACTAAAATAGGAAAGTAATTTAAAGAGTGACAAAGTTAACCTATAACTTAAAGAAGAGTTTCAAGGAGGTTGACAATGGAAGTAATGATGCTGGTAACACCATCACCAAGACCAGCAGAGCCAAGGGCAGTGGAAAGACTGTTGAGGGTGTCACGGAGAGTGGTGATAACCTGGAGGAGGGTAGAGTCAAGAGTCTTGCCAGTCAGGTCAGAAACGAGCTGGTTGACAATGGTGAGGAGGAGGTTGAGGAGGGTCTTAAGACCGGTGGTCAAAAGAAGGCTGTTGAGGGTGCCAATAAGACCAGTGCCAACAGTGACACCAGTGAGGGTGTTGACGAGCTGAGCAACAACGGTGGTGATGTTGGTCAAAAGAGTGGCAACAGAGGCAAGAGTGCCGGAGAGGTCAAGGGAACCAAGGGAAGAGAGAGTGGAAGTGAGGAAAGAAACAATGGAAAGGAGGAGGGTGGAGACAGCAGAAAGGTCAAGAAGAGAAGAGGGAGCAGCCTCACGCTTGACAACCTCGGGAGCGTAAGGAGCAAGAATCTCCTCAGCAGTAAGAGCCTTGGACTCCTGAGCAACAGGAGCAGGGTTAGCGGCAACAAAGGCAGCGAGGACAGAGAAGAGAGTGACAGACTTGATGGCAACCATTTTTGATTATTGTTTGAATTAGATTTGTAAGTTAAAAACTTGTAAAGACTTTTAAGAGCTTGTTAAAGTAGAGTAGAGTAGGGAAGAGTAGTAGTGATGAGAAGATAAAAAAAAAAGAAAGATCAACAAGGAATATCAGTCTGTATTTATACTTGAAATGAATTGAAGAGTTTTCAAAAATCTAAAAGATGATAAATTTGGATTAATTGCGTGCTCTATATTTTTTTTTAATTATTTTTTCTCAATAGCGTCCAAACGGTTCAAATTTGATAATCCCAAAAGGTAAACGATAAACGATAAATGTTAAATTTCCCCAATTGAAAAAATTAAAAAAAAATGTAGCTCATTTAGCAATCAATTAAACAAAAGAACGTTTCCTAAAATGACGAATTAAATTATTCGAATGGCGGTATATCGGAAGTTATGAGAGACTTTTTTTTTTTTTTAATAAAGAGATAAATTTCAAATTAGTTATTATAATCGGTTATTTGAAACTGTATAACTATTTTTTCTTTCTTTATTTATTTCTTTATTTCTTTATTTCTTTATTTCTTTATTTCTTTTTTTTTTTTCTCGCGGAGCATCCAGTGTAGAAATGGCCTTGTTTGACCAATATTACAGGTTTAACCGTTTTTCAAAAACCTCTCCTTGAACTCTTAAACAGCTTCACGATTGGAGAACACACTGCTGATACATCCAACATGTGGGGGAAACCTTCTCATGTTCTCGCTTAATCATATTTTTGATAAACATTGAATTTGGCTTTTATTTTATTTTTTGATAGATGTGAAAGGTTTTGGGTAACTGAGTAAGTTTTAGATTTAAATCAGTGTACAAAAAAAAAAAAATAAATAAATAAATAAATAAATAGGTTTTTTTTAACTTTCGTTATCGTCGCTCGTGAAAACGGAATGGTGGTTTTTTTTTTTTTTTTTTTTTCAAAAAAAAATATTTTTTAACATTTTTTTGATGGACCCTTGCCGTTGGATTTTTCAACAAAATAATTAATTAAAAAAAAAATTAGTAAATCTAATAAATGATATTTTCTCCCCATCAACCAACTCTTTTCAGATCCTTTTTTTTCCCACACTCTTGAAACTTGCAAATCTTAAGATAAGCTTCGGCAATAAAATGAAAAAAAAATATTCCAAACTTCAAAACGCATTGATATTTCTAACTGTTTTTTTTTTTTTTTTTTTTTTTGGTCATCTATATCGTTTTTCTTTTCCCTAATTGTTTCCCCCAAGTTCCCTTACTTTTGGAATTCATATTCCAAATTCTTGTTTCTTTCCTCTTTAAAGAAAAAATCCCATATTTTTCAAAGTAACCAGAAAAGATTCTGATAAGAACCAATTGATAGCGGTAAAACAACCTCATGTTTGAATCACATCAAGGATTGTAGAAGCGTTATCTTGAATCTCGAGGATGTCACTTGATGGTGACTTGAAATTCTTAGGAAAGCCACTTCCAGCATTATTTTTTTTAGTTTAATTTTTTTTTTTTTAAAAATGTTGCCTAAACCATAAAAGGCAGATTTGTTTTATGCTTGATCCTCATGTAATTTCCCTTAATTTTTTTATTCATTAAGCCTAACTAAGTTTTCCCGGAAGGGTCTCGGAGCTAGTAATAAATATGTCGTTGTCAGACCACCTGTTGCCAATCTCATGATGATGGAGAGTAGCTTTTAAATACTTGTCGCCTTTCAATGATGTGCTCTAAGCGGGGCCTAAGACCAAATGAACTTACAAGGGTATTGTTACAGCTGAGAGGAGCTGAATAAAATAATACGTTTAGTCGTTCTTTTGCTTCAATAACACCACAAAACAGGATCGCGCTATTACTAGTGGCAAGACCCGTATTATCTAGCTACAAGACTTAAATTATGTACTAAAATTTATATGGAGGGCCCAAGATCTTTATTCCAGCTTTTTTTTAATTAGCGGAAAGTGGACCCCCCAAGGATTGAATTTTTATAGTTAGGTTCAAGTCATGTATATAATTAAAGTTTAACCATGAAATTTTGTTAAGACTTTAAGAAATTCAATGTCAGTTTCTATCCTTAAAATCACC